AAAATAAATAAATAAATTTGCAATGGGGTTCAACAGACTGAAACTCAATTCCATCGCCTTTCGTTGGTTGCGTTGTCTCTCTCGGAGCAAATCCTCCTCATTCTAAGATTCCCCCCCCCACTCTCCAGACTGGAAAGAAAGGAACCAGAATATATATATATTTTTTTAAAAAAGATGGAAAATATCCCAATCAAGAAGATCTTACTCCTGGTTGCCCTGGCCAGCTCCATTCGTTCCCAGCAGCGAGGAGGAGCTTAAACAAAAGAGCGTAAAATAGCTTTGGCAAATTAGCAGAAGTAGGAAAGGAAGCTGCGAAGCTCTCTCTCTCTCTGGTGAACCCGGCTCTGAAGCAGGAGGAGGGGTAGATTTTCCCAGGTTGGGAAACTTCCCCTTTTAAATAAGATTATACTTTTAAATTACCCCTAATCAGAGCAAGGTGACTAATGGTTAAACACGCTGCCCGCCTGCTGGAAAGACAAATAGCCTGGGTTTACTCCCACTTGGAACAGCGATGTCTGGCTTGAGTTTTTTCTCTTTCTCTCTCTCCCCCTCCCCCCCTCTCTCCCTCCTTTCTCTTCCTCTCTCTCCCCCTTCCTCTCTCTTCCCCCCCTCTCTCTCTCCTCTCTCTCTCCTCTCTCTCCCTCTCTCCCGCTCCTTTCTCTTCTCTCTCTCCCTCCTCTCTCCCCTCTCTTTCTCCCTCCCTCCCTCTCCCCTCTCTCTTTCTCTCCTCACTTCTCCCTCTCTCCCTCCTTTCTCTTCCTCTCTCCCCCTTCCTCTCTCTTCTTCTCTCTCTCTTCCATTCTCTTTCCTCTGTCTCTCTCTCTCCCCCTTCTCTCTCTTCCTTTCTCTCTCTCTCTTTCTCTCTCTCCCCCTCCCCTCTCTTTTTCTCTCCCTCCCTCTCGCTCTCCCCTCTCTGTTTCTCTCTCCTCTCTCCCCCTCCCCTCTCTTCCTCTCTCTCTCCCTCCTCTCTCTTCCTCTCTCTCCCTCTCCCCTCTCTTCCTCTCTCCCTCCCTCCCTCTCTTTCTCTCTCTCCCCCTCTCTCTTTCTCTCTCCTCTCTCTCTCCCCCTCCTTTCTCTTTTCTCTCTCCCCCTCTCTCCCCCTCCTCTCTCCCCCTCTCTTTCTCTCTCTCCCTCCTCTGTCTTCCTCTCTCTCCCCCCGCTCTCCCTCCTCTCCCCTTTCTCCTCTTCCTCTCTCTCTCTCCCTCCTCTCTTCTTCCCTCTCCGTCTCTCTTCCTCTCTCCCTTTTTCTGTCTCTCCTCCCCCTCCCTTCCTCCCTCCTTCCCTCCCTTCCTCCCTCTCTCTCTGTCTCCCCCCTGAGATTTCTGCTGAAATTACTCGGGCTTCCAGTGAATTATTCAGATGGAAGGGAAAGCGAAGATACAGTGTTGGGCCTGGTGATGTTCTCTTATATAATATTTAAGTTTTCCGAAGCTAAACTACGCTGTGCTTCGGTGGGGAGAAGCGCCACCCAGTTTCCTGCTCCCTGAACAACTTTCCGATGGAAATTCCAAAATGGATAGAAGAGAAGATTTGTAGCTCAGGCTGAACTGTGGGGTCCTCGGTGCTCTCTGAGCTGGGTTGTTTTCTTGCAGACATTTCATTACCTAACTAGATGACATTATCAGTGGCAGTTAGTGTAAGTTGCTCCCTCTTTATATACAGTAGCTCTTTGCTTAATGACCATGACAAAAAAAACGTTGTAAAATCGGCCACAACTCACTTAACAATCCCCTCTCTTAGCGACAAAAGTTCTGGTCTCAATTGCGGTTTAAATCAAGGACTACTTGTATAGATAAAACCTAGCGGACTCTTAGTGGACAATCAATTGAAGATGAGCCCGTAGAGTGCGGTGGCAGCCAAAAAAGCCAACACAAGTTGCATTAACAGAGGGATTGAATCAAGATCAAGTAAGGTACTACTACCACTCTATAAAGCCTAAGTAAGACCACACCTGGAGTACTGCATCCAGTTTTGGTCAGCACACTATAAAAAAGATGTGGAGACTCTAGAAAGAGTGCAGAGAAGAGCAACCAAGATGATGAGGGGACTGGAGGCTAAAACATACGATGAACGGTTGCAGGAACTGGGCATGGCTAGTCTAGTGAAGAGAAGGACCAGGGGAGACATGATAGCAGTCTTCCAATATTTGAGGGGCTGCCACAGAGAGGAGGAAGGGGGTCAAGCTGTTTTCCAAAGGACCTGAAGGCCAAACAAGGAACAATGGATGGAAACTGATCAAGGAGAGATTCAACCTGAAAATAGGGAGAAATTTTCTGACCGTGAGAGCAATCAACCCATGGAACAGAGGTTGCCTTCAGAAGTTGTGGGAGCTTCATCATTGGAAGCTTTCAAGAAGAGACTGGACTGCCATCTGTCAGAAATGGTGTAGGATCTCCTGCTTGGGCAGGGGGTTGGACTAGATGACCTACAAGGTCCCTTCTGTCATTGGGTATTCTGTATTAAGACTTCAGCTTCCATCTCACCCTATAAATGAGAGGATGGAGCTGTGGTCTGCCAGTTTCCAATGTCCTTGGCATCCCCTTTGCGACTTGCCTGCAACAACATTTTTATGCCCTGACTCGGTTAGTCTCCAGGATTCTTCAGTGTTCATGAAAATGCATGCAAATTCAGATCTGGTAGTGGAGAGAAAAAAAATATAAAATTTAGCATCCTCCCTGCACAGCTGGGAATCAAAAGCAGGGAGAAGAAGACTCGCATCGAGCTATTTCTATGCAAAGCACCGTTGTTCTTTTCTAAAAATACATAGATAGTGGCAACATGTGCACATTCTCACACATATTCATGCCATTCTTTTTTTTTATTAAATCAATCTATTTATTTTACAAGAGAAAAGGCACTTTGTTCTCAAGGAGATGGGGATAATTTAGTTCTGAAATCGTGATGGCACTATTCTATTCTATTCTATTCTATTCTATTCTATTCTATTCTATTCTATTCTATTCTATTCTATTCTATTCTATTCTATTCTATTCTATTCTATTCTATTCTATTCCATTCCATTCCATTCCATTCCATTCCACTCCACTCCACTCCACTCCACTCCACTCTACATTCTGTTCTGTTCTTTTCTGGTCTAGTCTAGTCTAGTTTACCCTACCCTACCCTATCCTACTCTATTCTTTTCTATTTTACCCTACCCTACCCTAGTCTAGTCTACCATACCCTACTGTACCCTACCCTACCCTACCCTACCCTACCCTACCGTATTCTATTCTATTCTATTCTATTCTATTCTATTCTATTCTATTCTATTCTATTCTATTCTATTCTATTCTATTCCATTCCATTCCATTCCATTCCATTCCATTCCACTCCACTCCACTCCACTCCACTCCACTCCACTCCACTCCACTCCACTCTACATTCTGTTCTGTTCTTTTCTGGTCTAGTCTAGTCTAGTTTACCCTACCCTACCCTATCCTACTCTATTCTTTTCTATTTTACCCTACCCTACCCTAGTCTAGTCTACCATACCCTACTGTACCCTACCCTACCCTACCCTACCGTATTCTATTCTATTCTATTCTATTCTATTCTATTCTATTCTATTCTATTCTATTCTATTCTATTCTATTCTATTCTATTCTATTCTATTCTATTCTATTCTATTCTATTCTATTCTATTCTATTCTACTCTACCCTACCCTACCCTACCCTACCCTACCTTACCCTCCCCTACTCTTTTCTATTTTACCCTACCCTACCCTACCCTACCCTACTCTACTCTACTCAACTCAGAATAATAGAATTGGAAGGGACCTTGGCGGACTTCTAGTCCAACCCCCTGCTCAAGCAGGAAACCCTACACCATTTCAAACAGATGACAATCCAGTCTCTTCTTGAAAGATTCCAGTGATGAAGCTCCCACAACTTCCGAAGGCATTTCAGACAGGTGGTTGTCCAACCTCTTCTTAAAAACCTCCAGTGTTGGAGCAACCACAACTTCTGGAGTCAAGATTAATTGTTCTCATTTCTCAGGAAATTCCTCCCTAGTTCTAGGTTGGCTCTCTCCTTGATTTCATTTCCATCCCTCGCTTCTTGTCCTGCCTTTAGTTTTTGATCTACTTAAGCAACCGACGAGTCTCCAGATGTTGGATATTGCTCAGCCAAGAGAGGCTAAGAAATTCACCAACATCTGGAAGGCTACATGTTACCCTCCAGTTGTCTGCACACTTAATTGCTGTCCGCAGAGCCCCCCCTCCCGGCCCTCCAGCCTGTTCCTTTGACTTTGCAGGAGTTAAAGAAGCCTTTTTTTGAGGATTGAAATGTTAAATGGATGGGGAGAAGGGAAGGAATTAGTCAAACGTTAATAAGAACTTGGAATTTTTCCGCCAGAATGGCGTTTTCCCTAATGGGGATGGGGGCAACGGGGAGTGGGGGGAGGGAGTAAATGGATTTCAGTGCCTTAAACACAGCCTTGGTTGACTGGCCCAAAAGTATTCAGGCGGAATAAAAAAATTACATAGCATACTCGCTAAAACGCAGAATGGGGATGTTTCTTTCTTCTTTTTTTAATTTATGTATTATATTTTTTATTATTTTTAAAAATATACATCCATATTGTGTGCGGATAGAGTTGGTTCTGGGTATCATTCATATTAATCCAATTTGCAATAACAATATTAGTAATCTCTATCACATTTGTCACATTTAAGTAATCCTCGTTATAGTGTTTAAAGGAATGCAGTGGCTCAGTGGCTAAGACGCTGAGCTTGTCGATCTAAAGGCTGGCAGTTCCGTGGTTGGAATCCCTAGTCCTGCCTAGCGGGGTGAGCTCCCGTTACTCGTCCCAGCTTCTGCCAACCTAGCAGTTCGAAAGCAGGTCATAAAATGGAGCAACATTCACTTAACCAAAGTCTCACTTACCAATTGGGTGGGTCAATTGTGGTCGTAAGTCGGGGACTACCTATATAACATGTCTGGCTATGTTGGTGACGTGTTTTTGGTGTCTGCTCACAACCTCTCTCTCTGTTTTCCAGACCAATGATGCTGCAGGGAACATGTGGAATTGGCTTTACTTCATCCCCCTCATCATCATCGGCTCCTTCTTCATGCTCAACCTGGTCCTTGGTGTCTTATCAGGGTAAGGACTCCTTTACTTTCTCTTCTATCCTCCGGCTGCATTTGTGAGTTTGGTGGGTCAATTCCCATTCCAGAGAGAAGATCTGACAGAAGAGAATATTCGCAGCTCAGGGCTGAACGGAGGGGTCCTTGGTGCTCTCTGAGCTTGGTGGTTTTCTTGCAGATGTTTCATGACCCAACTAGGGTACATCATCAGCACTAGAAGGTAGTAGGGTTTGTGGAGATGGGGAGGAGGACGACGACTGTGGGGTCTTTTTCTTGCAGATGTTTCATGACCCATCTAGATAACATCATCAATGCTAGAGAAAAGGGGTGCATGGGGAGAGGAGGACAGTGGGGTCCTTGGTTCTCTCTGGGTTTCATGGTTTTCTTGCAGACATTTCAAGACCCAACAGTGCTAGAAGGGAGTTGGGTTTAGAGGAGGAGGAGGAGGAGGAGGAGGAGGAGGAGGAGGAGGAGGAGGAGGAGGAGGAGGAGGAGGAGGAGGAGGAGGAGGAGGAGGTGGAGGACTGTGCATGGGTTCCTTGGTGCTCTCTGAGTTTGGTGGTTTTCTTGCAGATGTTTTATGACCCAACTAGGTAACATCATTAGTGCTAAAAGGGAGTGGGGTTTGTGGAGTGAGGAGTGAGGAGTGAGGAGGAGGAGGAAGGGAGGAGCCTTGGCGCTGCAACAATAGGTTCCATATTTAGCATCTGGCACAATCCATCTATCTCCCCTGGCCTATTTTAGTGTCCCCCACCTGGAGAATTCATTTACAGCTCAACCTTCTGCCCTTTTTGGAGCGGCTGCGGGGAGAAAAAGAAAGGAAAAGAGAGAGAAAGAGGAAAGAAAAAGATTTTGACCAAGTCGGATTTCTCAGATTTACAGAACTGGCATAGTGTCATGCCCCTGTCGGAGCCTGAATCTGTGGAGGAAGACGAGCCATAGCTAAAGCCGATGGAGATCGAGGGGGCGGCTTCGTTGGCTTGGGAGGAAAATGGGGAGGAGTAGGCCTAATCATGCCAGGGTCTTTCAGGATTGGGCTTGTAGGCAGGGGGAAAGGGGGGCAGGATAACCAAGAGAAGCTAAGCAGGGAACATGAGAGACAGACCTCAGGCGATGAGCAAGGACCACCATCTCCTGATCCTTGAGCACGAAGAGTGGAGAGAAGGCAGGAACAGAGCAGACTGACCCAACTACTCGGGGGGAGAGTGCCCTGCCCCTCTTCACAACTCCCCCCAACTACTCGGGGGAGAGTGCACACATGGGGACTGAGACTTAAGGAGATGCTGCAGGGAGGGGCATTTATAGGGCACAAATGCTGAATTCCTGGAGTGTTGACTGCCGATGTTTGAACTTTCCTGGATTCCTTGCATTCTTTCTGTATTTCTGTATTCCTTGCCTTGCTCCTTTGCTTCTTGGACTCCTCGATTTGCCCTGCTGGATTTCTTGCTTTGCAGCCATGGTGCTCACAGCATTGGGCTGGACTATTTGCAGCCAGAGGCTGCTTGAGGTGTGTGTGGATGTTTGCCATCACTTTGTTCTGGGACTGGCCAGAAAGGTGGGAGCATTTGGAGAAATTTGGAGCAATAAAGGGGCAGTTTAAACTGCCCACTGCCCGTGTTACCTCTGTGCGGTGCCCCGGGTCATCACTTGTAGGCTGCACCATTCAGCACCAGAGCACGGACTGAGAAAAAAGTCCTGTATAGGTAGTGCTCAACTTACAACCAAATTCGTGTTGCTAAGCAAGACATTTGTCAAGTGAGTTTTGCCCCATGGTTATGACCTTCTTTGCCATAGTTGTTAAGCGAATGACTGGTTATGAAGGTTGCACTCATTCATCTGTTTCTTCTCCGCAGTGAGTTTGCCAAAGAACGAGAGAGAGTTGAAAACCGGCGAGCTTTTCTGAAACTCCGGAGACAGCAGCAGATCGAGAGAGAACTTAATGGCTACTTGGAATGGATCTTTAAAGCAGGTAAGACGGAGAAAAATTTCCCAAGTCTTGAGAAGGAAATCAAAGCTGACTCAATGGAAGATTCTGTTGTGGCCCGCCAGCTGCCAGAGGAGCTGGCGGCAGACTCGGACGATGTGGAGGTTGGGGAGGAACTTGGGCCAGTGCTGCAGTCTGGGGAAGGCTCTGATGGATGCTCTGTGTTGGACACAGAGATAGAGCCAGGGCTGTCCAATATTTCCCAGCCACCAGAGAGGCAGCTGCCTTTGGAGGCTGAGATGAGTGAGGAGTAAGAATAGCTGGGGCCTGTTCCAGATGCACTATGTGCAGAGCAGTTAGGAGAGATGAACAACAGAGGACGAGTCAATTCGGGAAGCAAAACACATGTGGATGCTGAATGGCCCCTCCCTGGCTGGGGAATAAATAGAAGGGGAGTGGTTGTCATAGGAGACAACCGTTCGTATTTCTGAAGATTTTGTTCATTGTGTTTCGTGCCTCAAAGACTGCTTGCCGGAACTTTATTTGCAGCCTTTTGGCTGGGAGCTCACAGCCTCGCAATTATCGCAAGGAATTGATAAGGTCTGTTAGTGCAGTTAACTCTTTGAAGGACTATTGCCTGGACTTTTTGATGGGTGAATGCAATTAATTCACAAGGGGTAAATAAAGAGGGTTTTTTTGTGACCAGGAGTCTGTTTCTTGCTTCTGCTGGGTCAGAACAGATTCCTATGCAGAAAGAAAATGGTTCCAATTCAAAATAAAAAAGACGAAAAACCAGAGACGTTTTGAAGGGACAGACAGAGAAAGCAGCACCTCGGTGCTGACACACTAGGCAAGCGCTTCTCTTTCCATGTCATCTCACAAACACACACACAGAGAGAAAAAAGAGGCAGAACTGGCATTGTAGTGACGCAGAAGGTTGGATCCCACTGGGCCCCCTGAGTAAGAAGCTTTTGGCAGACTGCAAATGTTAGGCTACGAAAGGTAAACTGTTATTCAAAAAGAGGGCATGCCTGGGTTGGCATTTCGGATGATCACTGGCTTCGAAGAAGGTCCTCGCAATTAACAGAAAGGCAATCGGTTGGCACGTGACGGGGCTGTGATTTCTTGCTTATGGCTTCTCTCTTCCCATTCATAACTTTGAGGTGATTGTCTTGATGTTATATTCACAGTGCAGGAAGAGGAATGGAATGGAATGGAGTAGAATGAGGAATAGAGTAGGGTAGGGTAGGGTAGGGTAGGGTAGAATAGAATAGAATAGAATAGAATAGAATAGAATAGAATAGAATAGAATAGAATAGAATAGAATAGAATAGAATAGAATAGAATAGAATAGAAATTAGGAATGGAATGGAATGGAATGGAATGGAATGGAATGGAATGGAATGGAATGGAATGGAATGGAAGAATAGCATAGCATAGCATAGCATCGCACGGCACAGCACGGCATAGCACAGAACAGAACAGAACAGAACAGAACAGAACAGAACAGAATAAGGAATAGACTAAACCAGCGTAGATTAGAACAGAGAAGAACAAAATAGAATAAGGAACAGAAAGAGAACAGACTAGAATAAGGAACAGAACAGAATTGAGAATAAAACACAATAGGGAACAGAACAGAATAGAATAAGGAATACACTAGAGTAGACTAGACTAGACTAGACTAGAACAGAGCAGAGCGGAACGGAACGGAATGGAACAGAACCAGAATAGAATAAGGAATAGAACAGAACAGAACAGAACAGAACAGAATAGAATTCTTTATTGGCCAAGTGTGATTGGACACACAAGCAATTTATCTCGGGTGCAGAAGCTCTCAGTGTACATACAAGCAACAAGTGATAGACCATGGTCATAATCATAAAATATAATCATCATAAATCATAAGACAGAACATCCAGTGGTAGTCATAGGATACTCAATAAGCAATCAACATAAATCATAATAGGATGCTAAATAAAAACAATCAATATATATCGTAAGATACAAGCAACAAAGTTACAGTCATAAGAAGGTAAGGAAACAGGTAATAGGAAAGAGACCGGAAGGCCTGTTTTTTGCTGTCCCCAACCTCCAGAGCCTCTCTAGGAGCCTGGGGAGGGCAAAAACGGCCTTCCCCACCCCCCCAGAGGCCCTCTGGATGCCAGAAATGACCCGTTTGCCAACTTCCAGTGGGACCGGAAGTTGGCAAATGGGCCGTTTTCATCCTCTGGAGGACCTCCGAGGGGTAGGGGTGGGGAAGGCCATTTTCACCCTCCCCAGACTCCTAGAAAGGCTCTGGAGCCAGATGAGAGAGAAAAACGGGCCTTCCCCACCACTCTCTGAGGCCCTCCGGAGGCAGGAAACAACCTGTTTCCCTACTTCTGGTGGGCCCAGAAGGCCCGAAAATCAGCTGGCCAGCGTGCACATGCGTGCCAGAGCTGAGCTCACGTGCCCACTGATATGGCGTGCCCTAGGTTCGCCATCACAGTCTCTATGGCAAGCTCAGATTCCCCATGGAAGAAGAATGTCCAGCTGACGCACAGGAGAAGCCACCAATCGAAAAGCAGGAACCGATTCCCCAGTTAGAAAGGTAGAGAATATAGCTTCCATTGTTTGGAGTTGAGTAGCATCTTAGATCTGATGTATCTTAGAGACTCTAGCAGATGTAGCATATTTGGGACTGAGTTTGCATAGTGGTGTTGTCGTCGTTTTTTTTTTTTAACCTTTGGATTTTTGAGACACGAGAGAGAGCCTGTTTCATCTTCTCTTTGTCTTAATTTGGCATCTGCTTGAGCTCTGGAGAATTGAGACGCCTGGTCCATGACGAGGCACAAAATAATAAATGGATGCAAAAGCAATATTCTGAAATTAGGAGGAAGATGTTCCATCATCCCAGGACATATTGCTGTTGACCTATAATAGGCAATTTTTGAACAGCGGGATGGACTCTGCAGAACAAGGAGCAGTAGAATGATAAGTCATGGCCACCACTCTATGTAGGTCGGACATGAGCATATACATTGAAGCAGAATAACAGAGTGGGAAGGGACCTTGGAGGTCTCCTAGTCCAACCCCCCACTCAGGCAGGAAACCCTATACCACTTCAGACAAATGGTTGTCCAATCTCTTCTTAAATATCTCCAGTTTTGGAGCACCAACTTAGCTGTTCCACAAATTGTTCTAATTGTTAGGGAAGCCCTCTTTAATTCTACCTTGCTTCTGTCCTTGATTCGTTTCCATCCGTTGCTTCTTGTCCTGCCTTCTGGTGCTTTGGAGAACAGGTTGACTCCCTCTTCTTGGTGGCAGCCCCTCAAATATTGGAAGACTGCTCTTCATGCCACTCTTAGTATAGAACGGAACGGAACGACAGAGTGGGAAGGGACCTCGGAGGTCTTCTAGTCTAACCCCCTGCTTCAGGCAGGAAACCCTATACCACTTCAGACAAATTTACAGGAATAGGTTGACCCATTCTTCTTTGTGGCAGCCCCTCAAATATTGGGAAAGTGCTAGCATGCCTCCTCTAGTCCTAGGCTGGGGTCAGCAACCTGCGGCTCCGGAGCCGCATGCGGCTCTTTGGGCTGTCTGCTGTGGCTCCCTGTCAGGTGATCCCACCACTGGCTGGTCCCACCCCTCACCCTCCCCTCCCAGTCAGGGCGGTAAGGTAAGGGTGATGGTGGGGGATGGAGAAGCGGCCAGGGCAGAGGCAGAGAGATACAGAGAGAGAGGGAGAGGGGGGAGAGAGAGGGAGGGAGAGAGAGAGATGTCAAAAGGATTTTGTGGTTCCTGGTGTTTTTAAACAACTGGTTCTCTGCCCTAATGACCGGCTGGGTAGGCGTGGCTAGGAGGGGGTCATGTGACTGGTAGAAGTGAGTGACATCCAGTTGGCCACACCCACCCAGGTTTTGTGGCTCCCGGTTTTTTCTTTTCTGTGGGAAACGGGTCCAAATGGCTCTTTGAATATTTAAGGTTGCAGACCCCCGTCCTAGACACTAGACACACCCAGTTCCTGCAACCGTTCTTTGTATGTTTCAGCCAGCGGTGGGTTTCACATTTTGTTACTTCCGGTTCGCCGTTCCCATTCGCTTCGTGCACGAGTCTTCCGCGCAGTTGCCCGGCTTCAAAAATGTGCCTAAATAGGATGGCATAGAGCTGGGGTGGGTGTTGATTTCCACTACCGGTTTGCCCGAACCGGTTTGAACCAGCTGAATACCACCTCTGGTTTCAGCCTCCAGCCCCCTAATCAGCGTTAGCTAACCTTTTTGCCATCGCATGCCAAAAGCAGGGGTAGGACCGGGGGGGGGGTGTCGCACCTCCGTGTGCCCATATCCATAATTCAATGCATCCTGCTCCCCCCCGTGCATGTGCGCATGACCCCCGCTTTTGGCACAGGATGGCATGGTGGGCCCGGTAGGCCCGTTTTTCACCCTCCCCAGGCTCCAGAGGATTTCTAGGAGCCTGGGGAGGGCAAAAAATGCCTTTCCCAATGCCCCAGAGGCCCTCCAGAGGCCGGAAACAGCCCGTTTCCCGACTCCCGGTGGGCCCGGAAAGCCCAAAAATCAGCTGGCCACCGCGCGCATGTGTGCTGGAGCTGAGCTAGGGGAATGCTTGCCATAGGTTCGCCATTGCGGCCCCTAATCATCTTTGTAGCTATTCTTTGCCCTCTTTCTAGAGCCCTCGATATCCTTTTTCTTCTATCTCCTTCTAATTAGCCTGTTGCTATTTCTCTCCCCCCACCCCCACCCCATATTTTGCCTCTTGCCACAAGCAACATATAAACACCCTCCCTTCTGCCACCTCCGGATAATATCACACGCGTCCGAATGGTTTATTTTATTAAAAGGGCTGCTCATTAAAGATAGCAAATACGTAGAGTCAAGAAGAGAACGAGACTGGGTATGTCAACAACTTGAGATTTAATTCACGGGCCGTCCCTATTATGCACAGAAATATTTGCTTGCCTTAAGGTTGGTCTCCGCTGTCAAATCCTTATTAATTTTTTAACTGGAGCCAGATGATTGCAAACAGCAGGCAATATGTTTGCTATTTCCTTGTCTTGCTGTTGCCAAATAATTCCCGTCTATTACCAGGGGTGTCTCTCCAGAAATGATGAGTGGTTTCTTTTTGTCTTTTTTTTCACATTTTTCTTAACCTGTCAAGCAAAAACAACAACAAGAACAACACACACACACAGAGAAGAAAATTAGAACAATCAACAGCAGCTACTTTCTATTAGCTTATATATATATTATTGCTAATATTGCTCCTAGAAGCACGAAGCCGAAAACACCAGCCTGAAGATGACGAATGAGACTTCGTCAAAACGTTGCCAAGACACTTCCAATTTTACGCGGGAGAAAATCCGAATAACCAAAGACCTACACACACACACACACACACACACACACACACACACACAAACACAAACACACATTGATAGGTGTTGCTTAGTGGCTGAGATAGACCCAGTGACCTAAACATTAATGAGTTCAGTCTGCGACACAGAAAGGCAGAATGAATGCAGATTTTCCCCTGAGTGGCGTCTCGTAGTCCACTCGGGAAGAAGGTGCTGTGAATGGTTTACTCCAATCTCCGCCCTAACAATGGTTAAAATAACACCGTTTTTACTGATGGATTTTTTTTAAAAAATCGATGGCATTTTATTATCGTTTTCACTACAGCTTTCCCGGTTTTTCTTTGAGGATGATATTTGATAGACGTGTGGAGCTTCTTGAGGAATTGATATTAGCCTGTCCATTTTTAAATTAACAAATTGTGGAAGCAAGAACGTGAACCCGTAATGAAGAGTGAGGAAACCTTCCATCCTCCCACCCTCCCTCTCTCATTCCCATATTTTTCCTTCCTTCCTTCCTTCCTTCCTTCCTTCCTTCCTTCCTTCCTTCCTTCCTTCCTTCCTTCCCTCCCTCCCTCCCTCCCTCCCTCCCTCCCTCCCTCTCTCATTCCCATATTTTTCCTTCCTTCCTTCCTTCCCTCCCCTCTCTTCTTTCCCTCCTTCTTCCTTCCCTCTCTCCCTCCATCTCTCATTCCCATATTTTTCCTTCCTTCCTCCTTCCCTCCTTCCCATATTTTTCCTTCCTTCCTTCCTTCCTCCCTCCCTCCCATATTGTCCTCCCTTCCTCCTTCCTTCCCTCTCTCCCTTTCTCTCTCATTCCCATATTTTTCCTTCCTTCCTCCCTCCCTCCTTCCCATATTTTTCCTTCCTCCCTCCCTCCCTCCTTCCCTCCCTCCCATATTGTCCTTCCTTCCTTCCTTCCTCCTTCCTTCCTTCCCTCTCTCCCTTTCTCTCTCATGCCCATATTTTTCCTCCCTCCCTCTCTCCTCCCTCCCCCTCTCCTCCCCCGATTCTATTTGGTAAATCTCAGAATATTTAAAAATAAATAGGTCCTAGAAACCTGAGCTCTGCCAACCAACTCCGTTCAAAGACTTTTCTCTAAACCACCCCCCGTCGTCGATCACAAAGTCGTTAGAGGCGCTGCGATTCTCTGTCGTATCCCCAAGTGACACAAGGCTAAGCATTGTTCTTTCTGTGTTTTCAGAGGAGGTGATGTTAGCCGAAGAAGACAAGAATGCTGAAGAGAAATCCCCCTTGGATGGTGAGTCGCCTAGCTATGCGTTTCTCTCCTCGCATGCTGACTCTATAGCTTTTTAACACAAAAGGCCGGGTAGGTAATAGAAGCAGAGTTTAGAAGCCAGAATAGAATATTTCAGTACCACGGACAGCTCAGCTCACTGACAGAATCAGAGTTCAGCACAGACTGAGTCAATGTTTTGTTGATTTCCAATGAAGGAGAATATTTGTAGCTCAGGGTTGAAACGAAGGGTCCTTGGTGCTCTCTGAGCTTGGTGGTTTTCTGGGAGGCCTTTCATTCAACATCGTCACCCACACCAACACACCACAGGGCAGATATGAACGGAGAGCAAACCCCCCTCCTTACTAGCATTGATGATGTTATCTAGTTGGGTAATGAAACGTCTGCAAGACAACAAGCAAGCTCAGAGAGTGCCAAGGACCCCTCATTGTGTTGATTTGTCAGATTGATATCCTGCCTTTGGTTCAGGAGCTCAAAATAGGGCTATAATGCTCCTTTTCCTCCAACAACAAAATTCCATAGAGATATATTGGGTTGAAAGCAAGGGTGGGCTGCTGGGGGTTCGCCAAGATCCTCCTCCTCCTCCTCTTCCCCTCCTCCTTTTCTTCCCCTCCACAAACCCCACTCCCTTCTCGCCCTGATGATGTTACCTAGTTGGGTAATGAAATATCTGCAAGGCAACAAGCAAACTCAGGGAGCGCCAAGGACCCCTCATTGTGTTGATTTGTCAGATTGATATCCTGCCTTTGGTTCAGGAGCTCAATATAGTGGCTATAATGCTCCTTTTCCTCCAACAACAAAATTCCACAGAGATATGTTGGGTTGAAAGCAGGGGTGGGCTGCTGGGGGTTCGCAGGGGTTCGGGAGAACCTCTAGCTAAGATTCTGTGCAGTTCTGAGGACCCCCCAAATCCCACTTCTGGCTGGCCCTGCCCGCTCACCCAGCCCCTCCCCTCCCAGGAGTCCCCACGCGGCCCATTTTGGATGCAGGTAAGTGCAGGGCGTGCGGGGAGGCTGAGGGAGGGCAAAAAATGGGCCTACTGGAAGTTCAGGAAGGCTGGAACCCATTTCCGTCCTCCAAAGGGCCTCTGGCACCTGGGGAGGTCATTTTCGCCCTCTTAGAGGCTCAAGAAAAGCCTCTAGAGCCCGGGGTGGGCAAAACACCCCCCCACCATGGTGCAGGAGGCCGACTAGGCCACGCCCACCATGGCCACGCCCACCCAGCAACCAGGCAGAGAACCCCTTGCTAAAATTTTTGAAGCCCACCCCTGGCTGAAAGAGAAAATGACTTCACCCAGCGATCTTTGTTATCATCATACTATTCGCAGCCTTAAGGTTGACATCTAATCTAGTTTTATTCAAAGTGAGAGCGTGAATGTATGACACGAGTGATTTGGGGATTTATTTTTAAGGGCCCCCCTCCTCATTTGCTAAATAATTGGCGTCCGTGAGAATCGGAGGCACAAAACACTTGAGAATTGAGACCAGAATAGCTTTACCTGACGCGCAGGTAACCTTATGTCAAATGATGTTCAAGGTGCTGGAATCATTGTAGCGGCCACCTTCCAATCACCGTCCATTGGAAAAAGGCAAAGTTATGATTTTAATAGCACGAGGGGGAAACTTCCCCCCCTCTCCTGCTGCCTCTTTGCTTTTGATTCTGATGTCAGACCCCGATGGGGGGACGTGATTCTGATTTGCAGCCTCACAAACATCCAACCTCGGTCCCCGGTTTTGATGGCTTTGAAGATGTTCAAAGATGGTTGAAGGAAGCTGTGCTTAGCTGGAAGGCTAAATAAATAATGGCCCTTTGCCAGGAAAGGATGGAGAAAAGGAACCGTCAAGGGGTTGATGGGCTCTCAAATGGTTCGTCTAAGGCTGCGTCGGAGCCATCCTTCAGATGGAAGGCAATTTGTGTCTCAAAGCTTCGGAGAGTTGAAGAAGTTTGAAGCCTCTACTGAAAGCTAATAGCCTGGTGGTTTATTGCCTGTTTCTCTCCTTTTCTGCCCCCTTTTGGTATCTAGTGCTGAAAAGAGCGACAATCAAGAAAAGCAAAAACGATCTCATCCACGCCGAAGAAGGAGAAGATCACTTCACAGATGTTTGCTCTGTGGGTAAGTCTAATGAGGGACATTCTCCTTCTTCGGTAGACGCTCTCTGTTCCAAAGCCAAAGGTTCCGGGTCATAAATCAGCAAAGCACATTGTCAACTCAACCCCAGGGGTTGCCTGGGTTTAGTTACAGGATGCCGCTTTGGGGAGTGTGCTAAGAAAAAAGCAGCTGGCTTTGGTGCTGAGTTCATCTGTTGGGGTATTTTGAATGCCTTCGAAAGGCCCCAACTCTGTAAGGCAGGGAAAATTTCTTTCCAGGGTTCCTTCAATGCAACTTGCATATATGATTGGCAGATTAGGATCCGGGTGGGTGGGTGGGTAATGGCTCAGTGGCTAAAGATGCTGAGCTTCTCAGCTGGAAAGCTGACAGACCTGAGCGTCGCGCAAATGGGTGAGCTCCCGTTCCTTGCTCCAGCTCCTCTCACCTAGCAGTTCGAAAGCAGGCAGATGCAAGTAGATAAATAGGTATCACTTCGGTGGGAAGGTAACAGCATTCTGTGTGCCTTGGCATATAGCCATGCTGGCCAAATAACCATGGAAAATGTCTTTGGACAATGCTGGGAGACAGCCAAAAATGGAGATGAGCATTGTGCCCTAGAATCAGACAGGACTGTTGTAGCTTATCGGCTACCAGCCCCCCCAAGCAGCTGAATCAGAGGAGGAGGAGGTGTGGGAGTCGGGGTAAGCATCAAGGTAACCTGAGAGCTCCGAGGGGAAAGAGGGAGTGGAGCTGGGAGAGAGAGAGACAGAGACAGAGACAGAGACAGAGACAGAGACAGAGACAGAGACGGAGCCTGGGCTATCCATCAGCCCTTAGATGGAGAGTCAACAGCTCCCAGGTCTGGAGGTGGCTGATGAGGAAGAGGAGGAACAGCTGGGTCCAGTGCCTGATGCATGGATGCGCAGAAGGCAGAGGAGAGGAGAGCATTGGAAATCTATGGGCTGGTCCTTGGGATGGAAGAGCCACCACTGCTAGTGAAGCCCTGAGCTCTGGGGATAAAAAGCAGGGGGCGGAGATGAATAGATGTGGCAGACAACTATTTATCTCCCTGCCGGACAGACTTGTTAGCCTGCGGTGAGAGAGAAACTTTCTGCCGTGGCTGCCGGTGCTCCTAATAAAGGAATCATTGAGTTAACTTCCGAGGGTTTGTCGTGTTTGGGGAGCTGGTTCAGAACAATGACTGGACGAAGAAACCTTTATCTTTTTTTTTTCTTACGATCCTTGAGCATTTGATTCTCCTAGATCCAGTCTGCTCCCCTTTTCAAGTGGTTGCCATCAGCAGGTCTGTTAGCAGCCGTCCTCAGGCTTGAGGTGTGTCACCTTGATGAGGGCTAGAATTGTAGGATTTAAAAAGACTCAAGGAGGATACTCACCAGACAGTCTCACTTACAAGAAGAACATCCTTATTAGAGAACCGCCCAGCTTCTGCTGAAACCCCACAGACCAAAGGGAGCCCATGGATCTCAGCTCCACCTCTGGAGAGCTTAGAACCGTGACTCAGATTTGGTCTTACGTAAAATTCAAATTTAACCTTTCCCGTTGGAAGAGCTTCACTTCATCTCGATTCCGTCCTCGGCTGTAGAATTTCCTCATGCGTGAGCTTCCTTCCGCTTCTCAGAAACGGCACGCTCTAACGGCCGAAGGTTGTCGACTTTATAGCGTTTTAATATGGATAATTTCTTGACGTGCTTCGGACAGCTTGTAGGAAATTTACTGTATAATTACCCACTGGCCCTGAAAAGTGCTGACCGGCAAGGACCTCTTTGCCAACGCTTATGTTTTTATGAGTTGTTTTCTAATTCCCTTAAATTGTTCTGCAAAGAACCTCGTAATCACTTCCCAAAGCAACATGTGGTGGCAAGCGGGTAGAATTTGCTTGATTAAAGGAAAGATCGGGTGGCGATATGACGAGCTTCAAATGCAGGAGAAAAATACACACATCATAAGCATCGTAAAGATTTAAGGCTTCAGTCGTGCACGGGCTTATGCTAAGCAAAGGAACCACCAGACGCATCACAATTGTGACTCCTGCTCTTATTTCTATTACTCTTATGAGTAATAAGAAATAAGAGCCTTGGTGGCGCAGCAGACTAAAGTGCTGTTAAGTAACACCAGCTGCCTGCAATTACTGCAAGTTCAAATCTCAGCAGGCTCAAGGTTGACTCAGCCTTCCATCCTTTCGAGGTAGGTAAAATGAGGACCCGGATTGTGGGGGCAATAAGCTGACTTTGTATAAAAAAGAACACCGCTTAGGGCCCCCCGAAAGCCCTACTAAGCAGGTATATACAAAAAGTATGAAGGCTATTGCTTAATGCATTGTAAGCCGCCCTGAGTCTCCGGAGAAGGGCGGCATATAAATCAAACCAATAAATAAATAATAAATAAATAAATAATAGGCCAATTTACAAAAGCGAAATCTTTCGCAGACAAACAAAAACAGGGTGCTTTCTTCTATGACTACAGGGTCTCCATTTGCCCGGGCCAGTCTCAAGAGTGGCAAGAATGAAAGCTCCTCCTACTTCCGTCGGAAAGAGAAGATGTTCCGTTTTTTCATCCGGCGCATGGTGAAGGCCCAGAGCTTCTACTGGATTGTCCTCTGTGTGGTGGCCCTCAACACTATGTGTGTGGCCATTGTGCATTATGATCAGCCAGAAGGTCTCACCACCACCCTTTGTAAGTAAGGTCTTCTTCTGTCAATTCTACTTCAGGGTTGGGAACACGCAAGGTTGGAGATTCCCAATCATCCAGGTCATCGTTGCCCCAAAGGTGATTTTCCAAAAGCCAACTAGACTTCCTCATTTTTTTTTTCTCCTTTGAAAAGGTTTCACATCTCACCCAAGAACTGAACTGCGAGAAGTTTTTTGGGATGAGAAGCGAAAAGTTTTCAAGGAAAAAATCCCGCAAGAAAGTCCAGTCGCCTTTTGGAAAAGCCCCTTTTCCTTCAGCACCAAAGATGGTGGACAGCACCCATGCCTGGATCTTAGCTGTTTTTTCACGAACAGGAACTAGTTCTAGCCACAATCCACAATGTGGCTTTCTAATTTGCTCGTGTTTATGACTTGAACTAATGACCTGAAGGAAATTGGCTAATGGAGCTAAAGATCTCCAAATCCAGTTGATGGTATGAATAACGGAGTTGGAAGGACCTTGAGGGTCTTCTAGCTCAACCCGCTGCTCTGTTCTGTCCCCAACCCCACGCACACACACCAACAGACGTTCAGGATTAAAGACCAAACCAGCCGGCAAAACCTTCTCCTTATGATAACGAACTTGGCAACAACCTAGTGGCTGCCTGCCAAGAGTTTATTATTTACAAAGAGGAGAGATAACTTCTCCCCACTTCTGATACATCAAAGGAAAGCAGCTCAATAATTACAATCAAGTCCAGAGATAATCCAGCCTTAAAGCAAAAGTCCGGCAATGCATAATGGCGTGGAAGCTTTCAGCTTTGTTCGTCACAAGGTTTGACTGGCCACCACGCTCCCTTTTATATCCTGTGGGTGTGGTCCAGTGACTCAGCCTAATCTCGGCACGCCTTTTCTTCTGTTGCGCGCGCTTATCTCTGCGACGCTGGCGTGGATCCAGCCAAGACTCATCACCCTCATCACTGTCCATCTGTGGCTGCGTGGACGTGCTTGGCCCTGGCCCTATCTCTTGCCCTTCGGCGACACCGAAGGCATTGCCAGAGAGGAGGTCTTGAAAGGGAGGCCTTGCCAACTCCTCCCCTTCACTCTCGGAGTCCTCTCCTGTCGATGACACAGGCTCCGGTAACGGAGCCACAACATGCTCAAGGTGGAGACCCTATTACCATTCCATACAAATGACTGTCCAATCTCCTCTTAAAACCTCCAGTGATGGAGCATCCACAGCTTCTGGAGACAAGCCATTCCACGGGTTGATGGTTCTGACTGTCAGGAAATTTCTCCTTAGTTCTAGGTTGTTTCTCTCCTTGATTAGTTTCCATCCATTGTTTCTTGTCCTGCCTTCAGGGGCTTTGGGAAATAGATTTACCTATCCTCCCCCAGGCAAACCCAGGAGAATAATAAAATAACAGAGTTGAAAGGGATCTCGAAGGTCTTCTAATCCAACTCCCTGCTCAAGCAGGAAACCCTATACTATTCCCGACCAACTTTTTAACCGAAATAGGAAATCTGGTTGGATTTGTCCGATTTTCAGAATTGGGTTGATTAAACCAGGGGTGGGGCTGTTGGGGGTTCGCAGGGGTTCGGGAGAACCTCTAGCTAAGATTCTGTGCAGTTCGGAGAACCCCCAAATCCCACTCCTGGCTGGCCCCGCCCACTGCACCCCTCCCCTCCCAGGAGTCCCCGCACGGCCTGTTTTGGATGCAGGTAAGTGCAGGGCGTGCACAGAGGCTGAAAAACGGGCCTACTGGAAGTTCGGGAAGGACCTCTGGAGCCTGGGGAGGCTGTTTTTGACATTTTTGCTCTCCCAAAGGCTCAAGAAAAGCCTCCAGAGCCTTGGGAGGGTAAAAAGCCCCCCCCCCCACCATGGTGCAGCAGGCCGACTAGGCCACGCCCACCATGGCCATGCCCACCCAGCAAATTAAGATCAGCTGTCCGCAATGATTGCCAGTTCGAATCTCGCCAGGCTCAAGGTTGACTCAGCCTTCCATCCTTTCTAAGGTAGGTAAATTGAGGACCCAGTTTGTGGGGGCAATAAGCTGACTTTGTATAAATATACAAAAGAATGAAGGCTATTGCTTAGTCTGAGTCTCCGGAGAAGGGCGGCATATAAATCAAATAAAAAAAAAAAACGGGCAGAGAACCCCTTGCTAAAATTTTTGAAGCCCACCCCTGGATTAAACTATCCATATCAGATTGTAGCCCATCTGGCCACTTCCAAAATGCTCAGCTCATTTCTTCTCCAGGCGCTCTGGTGGTTGCAACTGGGGCCCCCAATCCACCCTGGACGGGATACTTACAAGCACTGAGTAAATACCCTTAGGTATTGCAGCACACCAGTGAGCAAAGTGGAAAAAAGAATTTCCATGTTACCAGAGACATTTGAAGCTTTAACAAGCAAAAAAAAAAATAAAAAAATTAAGCATGACCTCTTTTTTGGGGATGATTTAGAGCGAAATCAGCGGCTGCTGGGTTTTTCTTTTTTCCTGAGGTTTTGCAAGCTCTTTGTTCTTTTTTCCAACAAAGGAATATAATAAGGCGATGGGAGTACAGAGAGCTGGATATTTTGTTCTGGTTTAAAATTTTTCCTCCATGTAAGTTGAGGCTAAGTGGCTAAAACAGAACATTTGTCTTTCATCCCCCTCTTCTTCTTCTTCTTCTTTATTTATTTTTTTAAAAAAAGTAAAATAAGATAGCAGCAAGCGAGGGAACGAGAATTCACTTTGCCAGAAATGATTTCGGTAGAGGGTTTCTTTCTTTCTTTCTTTTTTTTTTCTTTTTAATTTTCCTCCCAAAAGAAGAGAACTTTTATGAACAGACATTCATCTCCCAGCTGGTGTCAGAAAGAATGTTCTTGTTAATTACCAATTGAGTGAAAAATTATAAAGGCTACATGGAGCGAAGAAAAAAAACGAAAGAAAAGGCAGAGCCCGTTTTAATCACACACGCGCACACACAAAAAAATGGGGGATAAAAGCAGAGAAATGTTTCAACAGCGTGGAAGGCTTTAGGATGAGAAAGGAGTATTGTGAATAGCTGACAGGTGCATCGGCTGAGGAGGACGCTTGAACGAGATGTATCTCTGGAGCAAGAAAACTTTAAAAAAACACAACACACACACACACACACACACACACCAAGCAAACACTTGTAAAGAAAAACAAAACTTGAAGCATCTTCTAAAGCAGGTCGAGCAAATAGCCGGGAAGGGGATTACAAGGAATGTAATGGAAGGATGGAAATTAATCCAGGAGAGAAGCAATTTAGAACGAAGGAAGAATTTCCTGACGGTGAGAACAATTAACCAGTGGAACGACTTGCCTCCAGAAGTTGTGAACGCTCCAACACTGGAAGTTTTTAAGAAGAGGTTGGATAACCATTTGTCTGGTGTAGGATTTCCTGCCTAAGCAGGGGTTGGACTAGAAGACCTCCAAGGTCCCTTCCAACTCTGTTACTCTGTTATTCATTGACTACTCAAGATTTCCGGTTTGAAGTCTTCTGCATTGGGGGGGTCAGACTAGATGACCTACAAGGTCCCTTCCGACTCTGTTATTCTGAATGGACAAATCCCTTATTTGGTATTTATTTGAGAGATATTTAGTCAGGAACGAGAATCCTGTAGTCCTGTAAACAATGCTGTATTTAAAAAAAAAAAATCTATCCACATATGTGTTTTTTCACAGATTAACAGAGTTGGAAGGGACCTTGTAGGTCATCTAGTCCAACCCCCCCATTCAAGCAGACCCTACGCCATTTCTGACAGATGGCAGTCCAGTCTCTTCCAGCTTCCAGGGATGAAGCTCCCACAACCTCTGAAGGCAACTTCTGTTCCATGGGTTGATTGCTCTCACGTCCTCAAAGCAGGCGGGAGGGGTGGGCTGATACAATTCAGGGAAAATTAGTTAATTAAGCCAGACTATTTTTAAAAAGAAAACAATTCTCTTTCTTTAAAGCACAGCATCCCTCAAAATTCTGAAAGCCCAGGAAGATAATACAATATGGAAGAAGCTAAATAAAGCCCTGGATATTAGATATTAGAAGGGGCGTGCATAAGTACACCAGCGTGCCTACCGTCCCTGTCCTAATATTCCTTTTTACATACTCTTTTCATGTATTCAAATTATGTTTATACTTTTACCTGTTATCTTATATAGGCTTGACAAATAAACTTATGATGATGATTATGAACTTCCAGGCTATATAAGATAGCAACCCATCTTCTGTTTCAGTAACAGTATATTTATATTTATCTGTATATTTGTTTTATCTTAACTATTGAAATGGACAAATCCATCCATGAAGATGTTAAGTTCAGTGGTGGGTTGCTACAAACTGGTTTGCCCCAGTTTGGGCAAACTGGTAGCAGCGGTGGTGGGAGGCTCCGCCCACCTGCCCGGACGTCATCAAATACGATCTGCGTAAGCGCAGAAACTTCTGTACATGCACAGAAGTGGCGCGCACATGAGCAAACCATTAGCAAATGTAAGTGAAACCCACCCCTGGTTAAGTTTGACAAACATACAGTTAATTCTTGTGTTACGATCACAATTGAGCCCAACATTTCCAAGCAAGACAGTTGTTTTGTCCCATTTGACAATTTTTTTCACCACAAAGGAACTGGACATGGCTAAGTCTAGTGAAGAGAAGGACCAGGGGAGACAGGATAGCAGTCTTCCAATATTTGAGGGGCTGCCACAGAGAGGAGGAAGGGGGTCAAACTGTTTTCCAAAGCACTGGAAGGCCAGACAAGGAGCAATTTCTATTTTCTATTTCTATTTTTTTTTAATTTATATACCGCCCTACTCCCGAAGGACTCAGGGCGGTGAACAGACACAAAATAAAATACATAAATACAAAAGTTAAAACATAATTAAAACCAAATTAAATAATTTAGCCCAAAATCCCAATAATTTAAAACAAATTAAAATTCCAATTTAAAAATTTAAAAGAAAGGGGAGAAAATTAGGCCAGGATGGATGGAAACTGATCAAGGAGAGATTCAACCTGGAAATAAGGAGAAATTTCCTGACAGTGAGAACAATCCACCCATGGAACAGAAGTTGCCTTCGGAGGTTGTGGGAGCTTCATCCCTGGAAGCTTTCAAGAAGAGACTGGACTGCCATCTGTCAGAAATGGTGTAGGGTCTCCTGCTTGGGAGGGGGGTTGGACTAGATGACCTACAAGGTCCCTTCCAACTCTGTAAATTAATCCTGTAAGGATTCAAATTGCAGCTCACTTCGAGTGTTTTCTTGGGCACGGATTCTGAGGAATGCAAGTTAATGAGTTCCTTGATGAGACGGTGTTTGCCTGCAAAGCTCTGTGGATATCAGTATGCAGAACAAGGGAAGTCTTCAAAGCCAGCACTCGTCCTTATGTCTGCTGAATATTTTAGGTGCGGATTCTGGAAAGAGGGGGATGGGGAGCCGAGGAGGAAAATATGAACCGTCCTTTTGCATGCGCGATGGTAGAATAGAATAGAATAGAATAGAATAGAATAGAATAGAATAGAATAGAATAGAATAGATAATGGAATGGAATATAGAATAGAATAGAATAGAATAGAATAGAATAGAATAGAATAGAATAGAATAGAATAGAATAGAATAATAATGGAATGGAATATAGAATGGAATGGAATGGAATGGAATGGAATGGAATGGAATGGAATGGAATAGAATAGAATAGATAATGGAATGGAATATAGAATAGAATAGAATAGAATTGAGTAGAATAGATAATGGAATGGAATATAGAATAGAATAGAATAGAATAGAATAGAATAGAATAGAATAGAATAGAATAGAATAGAATAGATAATGGAATGAATATAGAATAGAATAGAATAGAATAGAATAGAATAGAATAGAATAGAATAGAATAGATAATGGAATGGAATATAGAATAGAATAGAATAGAATAGAATAGAATAGAATAGAATTGAATTGAATTGAATTGAATTGAATTGAATTGAATTGAATAGAATAGATAATGGAATGGAATATAGAATAGAATAGAATAGAATAGAATAGAATAGAATAGAATAGAATAGAATAGAATAGATAATGGAATGGAATATAGAATAGAATAGATAATGGAATGGAGAATAGAATAGAATAGAATAGAATAGAATAGAATAGAATAGAATAGAATAGATAATGAATGGAATATAGAATAGAATAGATAATGGAATGGAGAATAGAATAGAATAGAATAGAATAGAATAGAATAGAATAGAATAGAATAGAATAGAATAGAATAAACAGAGTTGGAAGGGACCTTGGAGGTCTTCTAGTCCAACCCCCTGCTTAGGCAGGAAACCCTACACCACTTCAGAACAAATGGTTATCCAACATCTTCTTAAAAACTTCCAGTGTTGGTTTCCAGCAAAGGCTGGAAGCAGCCAAGAACCGGATAGTGTTAATAGCAAAGCCCTGTCCCTAATGGCTTCAGACTTCGAGAGGTTCAACAGAAAATTGCATTAATCTATTAGTGATGAGACAACGAGAGAGCGAGAAACTGCTAATGATCTTGTTCAGAGGTATTGGGTGGAAAACAGCTACCGGGCGGGGGGGGGGGGGGCTTTTCACAGCAATTCCGTTTTTTAAAAAAATCGGATTGAATTATTTGTAGCCAGCTCTTCTCTTCCCCTTCTTTCTTTTTCATCCATTTCTCTAAGAAGAAAGAACAACTTGCCTGCAGAAGTTGTGAATGCTCCAACACTGGGAATTTTTAAGAAGATGTTGGATAACCGTTTGTCTGAAGTGGTGTAGGGTTTCCTGCCTAAGCAGGGGGTTGGACTAGAAGACCTCCAAGGTCCCTTCCAATTCTGTTATTCTATTCTATTCTATTCTATTCTATTCTATTCTATTCTATTCTATTCTATTCTATTCTATTCTATTCTATTCTATTCTATTCTATTCTATTTGTTTATTGGCCTGTTGCCAGTGCAGAGTTATATTCAGCAGATATATTCTCAATGTGCCCAGAGAGAGAAATATCTGCCTCTACCTAGGATCGAACTCACAGCCCCCTGATTGTGAGGCGAGAGCTCCAACTCTAGGCCACCGCACTACTCCTTTATGATTAATGATCGTAACTATGATTTACGATCCCTGACCTGTCACTTTGTTATTTGTATGTACACTGAGAGCTTATGCACCGGAGACAAATTCCTTATGTGTCCAATCGCAGTTAGCCCATAAAGAATTATCTTCTCTTCTCTAAAGAATTCTATTAAATCCAGGGATGGTCAAATGTTATGGAATTGCATTTGTTTTCTGATTAAACGGACAAGGTTAGGTTGGAAGAAATTGTGACGGTGATTCATCAGCTGGAAGGGTGGTAGAAAACGGGAGACCTTGGATAGGAAGATGGATGGATGGATAATTCTGAACTCGTCTCTTCTGCTGTTGGAGAGGTCTCAATAGTACTGGGATTTTAACTCAGATGGTCAGTTGTGTGGATCATGGTGAAAAAGCATTTTTCTTTTTTTTTTTAAAAAAGGGAAGAGTGAAAAAAGGAGCAATAGAAATATGAGATATTTAAGTTCTAGCAAAGCAAGAAAAATCCCGGATGGCATAATATTCTGAGAGAGGGCTCTATTTGAAGCTAGAACAATATTTCAACGTTGCTTTAGCAACACGGAGTCCTAGACCAAAGTCTAAAATAGTGCTGGAATTCTCTGTGGGCAATCGTTTACGCTCTTAGTGGGTGACTTTTCTTTTGTTTAAGAAAGTTGGCATTTTGAAAATCGGGGGGAGGATTTCAGAGAAGACCAACACAGATGATTAGGAGTCTGATGGCTAAAACATATGAGGAATGGTTGCAGGAATTGGGTATGTCTGGTTTAATGAAGAGAAGGACTAGAGGAGACATGATAGCATTGTTCCAATATTGCCACAAAGAAGAGGGAGTCAAGCTATTCTCCAAAGCACCTGAGGGCAGGACAAGAAGCAATGGATGGAAATTGAACAAAGAGAGAAGCAACCTAGGAGGAATTTCCTGACAATTAGAACAATTAATCAGTGGAACAACTTGCCACCAGAAGTTCTGGTGGTTGGTTGGTTTATGGTTTATGGTTTATTTGATTTGTATACCGCCCTACTCCCGAAGGACTCAGGGCGGTGAACATCCAACAATAAAATACATAAATACAAAAAATTTAAAAACCAGATAAAATCAAATTAAATCATTTTGGCCCAGACAAATCCTCCATCACTGGGAGGATTTTAAGAAGAGATTGGATAACCATTTGTCTGAAGTGGGGTAGGGTTTCCTGATTGAGCAGTGGTTTGGATTAGAAGACCTCCAAGGTCCCTTCCAACTCTGTTACTCTGTTATGCATTGAAACCTTCCAGTTTGAAGTCTTCTGCATTGGTGAAGAAGCAATTGAATTAAGAAGTTAAACGCAGAATAAGAAAGAGAATTGTTTGGGGAGGTTGGGTTTTCTCTCCAGAACAAATGTTTACATTTGCATTCCCAATTAATTATTCCCTCCCCGCCAGTTGGATCTGACCTGTTGCTCATTTTCTGCTACTTCCTTCTAGATTTTGCTGAATTTGTCTTCCTGGGTTTGTTCCTCACCGAGATGACTTTGAAGATGTACGGTCTGGGGCCAAGGAACTACTTCCATTCCTCGTTCAATTGCTTTGACTTTGGGGTAAGGAGAGAAGGACGCAAGGGCTCCCTTGCGCGATCACGATTTTATGCATGGTGTCCCCATAGATGAACTGGTAGGAAGGATTGGGTCTGGATGTATGGTCTAGATCTAGATGGTCTACATCTAGATGGTCTGGTCTAGATGGTCTAGATCTAGATCTAGATGGTATAGATCTAAATGGTATAAATCTAAATCTAGGTGGCATGAATGTATAACTAAATAGTCTAGATCTAGATGGTCTAGATATAAATGGTCTGAGTCTAGATGATCTAGATGGTATAAATCTAGATGGTATAAATCTAGATCTAAATGGCACAGATCTGGATCTAGGTGGCATAAATTTAGACCTAAATGGTCTAGATCTAGATGGTCTAAATCAAAATGGTCTGGGTCTAGATGATCCAGATCCAGCTGGTATAGGTCTAGCCGGTATAAATGGCACAGATCTAGATAGCATAAATTTAGATCTAGATCTAGATGGCATAAATTTAGATCTAGATCTAGATGGCATAAATTTAGATCTAGATCTAGATGGCATAAATTTAGATCTAGATGGCATAAATTTAGATCTAGATGGCATAAATTTAGATCTAGATCTAGACCATCTAGATCTAGTTATCCTTGACCGAAAGTCTTCCAGCTAACTCTCTTTCCATGCTCCAACGTCCTGTCAACGATCTTCTTAGCGGCGAGCAGAGAGCTCTATTTTTTTTCCAAGTCAAATCTTGAATCTGCGCAGAATGGTTGCTCCCAAAACACCGGCTGTTTGGTCCTGTGCCCGTAGGGGACTCAGCCGAAAGGTCTGTGCCAGAGAAGGTGGTGCAATATTGTTGCCGTCTGTTTCCCTGAACCGTTCCTTCACAAAAACCCTCGGAGGGATTATTCTGACCCCGTGGCTTCCGTGTGTCAAATTTGCAAGAAGGGGAAAAAACAGCCTTTGGCAGGTGTCCATTTGCTGCCCACATAAGTGACACCAATTAAGCTCCTTCCCTGGCAGGTCTCGAAGGAGAAACCTCTGTCAGACCCTGAAGCTAGGTTGGATTTGTTGTTGGCATCCATGGACTGTGCGGTTGGCAGAAATCGAGCTGTCACTCTGACTGCCCCAATAAGGACCCAGTTGGCCACAATCAACGTCACAACGGGCTTGTTCTCTCTATGAATCAGCCCTTGAAGTAGGCTTGGATAATTCAGTTGGTGCTAAAAATCACATGTGGTTGACTCACTATCTCACTACTCATGTCCTAAAGGTGCTTTTTCAAGAGGTGTATATTCCTTGAAGACGTTTCACTTCTCATCCAAGGAGCTCCTTCAGTTCTGACTGGGGGAGGAATACGACACCCCCACCCCTGTCTCCTGTTTACAACACAGTCCTTTCAGCAGTGCCCAGTAGGTTCCACACACCCGCATTTGCACTATTCAGGTGACGGTGAGGGCACAGGTAAACCTCCAAGCGGCCTCGATGACTCTCAGAAAGAGCGCTGCGCGGAATATCAAGTCTTCCATCCTTCATCGTTCAGCCAGAACGGAAGAAGCTTCTTGGAAAAGAAGCGAAATGTCTTCAAGGACAGTCCGAACTTGAAAAGCTTCTTGGCTGAGGAGCAAAATGTCTTCAAGGAGAAACTAAATCCAGTCGCCTCTCGAAAAAGCCCCTTTGGGACAACCATGACCTGGATGACAATTGGATCTTCATAGATCAGGGATGGCGAAGCTTTTTGGCACCAAGTGCCGAAAAGGGAGCACTTCACCTGCGCTCGTCAGGGCTGCGACCAGGAAGAGGAGCTGCCCAGGGGCCATGCACATGCCGGATAAGTATTTCTGGTTTCCGGCGCACACATGTGCACCAGCCAGCAAGTCTTCCAGTTACTGCCGTCCATGCACATGCACCGATCAGCTGGCTAGCGCGCAGCTTTTCCAGTTTCCGGCACTGCCTCACGTACAAAGGGCAGCTGATCGTCGCGTGCCAGAAACCCCGAAGAGGAACAGGCAACACTGCACGTGCCAGGCGACATGGCTCCGTGTGCCACTTTGGGCACGCATGCCATCACGGTCATAGGTAATGAAGAAAGCCACCTATAGATGGTGTGGTTGCATCTGTCAGCTCAGGGGTGTCAAACTCAATTTCATTGAGAGCTGCGTCAGGGCTGACCTTGGGGAGCCGTGGTGGGTGTGGCCAACTGGGTGGGTGTGGCCAACTGGGTGGGCGTGGCCAGCTTGACGCCACCCTCCAAACAGCTGGCATGTTTCCATTTTGCACTGGGTAGACCAGGCCGAAGCCACACCTTACATTTTCCAGGATGGACCCATGGCCCGGATCCGACCACATCGCAGCCCATATCCATCCCACAGGCCTTGTGTTTGACACCCCTGTGTCAGCTGAACATGCTGCCCCAAGATTGAGGCGCCATTTCCAATTTCTCTTGCTCCTCTCACGCTCCGACAATGCTTTAAAATGGGAATCTGTCTTCCGCTACCGTTTCCATGGAGATGTATCTGTTTTAAAATAGGAAAGGGGGCCACCCCGTATAGGAGCCCCTCGTATACATTAAACTTTATAGCTTCTTCACATCTGCAGAAGATCTGAGATGATCCTCCCACCAGTGCTTCCTCCAAAAGGCAAATGGACTTTTTTGGGTTGTTGTTTTTTTTTTCTCTCTCTTTGAAAACATTTCGCTTTCTCATCCAAAGAAGCTTCTTCGGGACTCCATGAAGTGAAGAAGCTACTTGGATGAGAAGCGAAACGTTTTCAAAGTGGGGGGGAGGGGGAAACAACAATTAAGAAAGAGCCGAGGTGGCGCAGTGGTTAGGGTGCAGTACTGCAGCTACTTCAGCTGACTGCTAGTTCAGCAGATCAGCGGATCAAATCTCACCGGCTCAAGGTTGACTCAGCCTTCCATCCTTCCAAGGTGGATAAAATGAGGACCCAGATTGTTAGGGGGGCAATATGCTATTTAGTATACTGTCTTTGGTGTAAGCCGCCCAGAGTCCTCGGAGAGTGGGCGGCATAGAAATATGGCTAATAAAATAAATAAAATCTATCTATCTATCTATCTATCTATCTATCTATCTATCTATCTATCCATCCATCCATCATCTATCTATCTATCTATCTATCTATCTATCTATCTATCCATCCATCATCTATCTATCTATCTATCTATCTATCTATCTATCTATCTATCCACCCATCATCTATCTATAAGAGCCGAGGTGGCACAGTGGTTAGAGTGCAGTACTGCAGCTACTTCAGCTGACTGCTAGTTCAGCAGATCAGCGGATCAAATCTCACCGGCTCAAGGTTGACTCAGCCTTCCATCCTTCCGAGGTGGGTAAAATGAGGACCCAGATTGTTAGGGGGCAATTATGCTATTTAGTATGCTGTCTTTGGTGTAAGCCGCCCAGAGTCCTCGGAGAGTGGGCGGCATAGAAAATATGACTAATAAAATAAAATAAATAAATAAAGTCCGGTTGCCTTTTGGAAAAAAAAAAAAAGAATCATTTGAGATCTTCTGCAAATGTTGAAATGTGAAAAGCCCTTTTGGGACAGCCATGACCTGGATGATTGAGAATCTCCAATAGACAGTTTGGTTGACCTTCCTTCATTAAAAAAGGTGGAAGTCCAACACTGGAAATTTTTTGAAAAGATGTTGGATCACCATTTGTCTGAAGTGATGTAGGGTTTCCTGCCTAAGCAGGGGGTTGGACTAGAAGACCTCCCAGGTCCCCTCCAACTCTGTTACTCTATTCCTTGAAATCTGCAATCCTTTGAATGACCCTCAACTTCTGGTGACTTCCTAGACACATTTATGGAGCCTTCTAAGCAATGATTTCCCTTTGCATTCTTTTGGGATTTTTTTTTTGTGTGTATGTGTGGTTTCCATAGCACTGGAATTGCTTTAAAACTGCCCATCCGAGGACCAGCCAGTTCTGACTCAGCTTAGCTTTGCAAACAGAAAGAAGGTCAGTTTGCACTGACACCGTCTTTCTCTACAGGCTGCCAATTTTGCTGGGGTATTTAGGAAGAAGCAGAAGCAGATAGGTGCAGTGAAGGAACAGCTAGGTCCAGGAAGAACCTGTGCATGCTACCAGTTATTTCCACCTTTGTGGAAAAGCCCTTCGCTGTTTAAAATGCTCCATTTTATGAGAGGAGGGAGTCCATCTGTAGGGGACAAGTGGGCGTTGAGTTTTCTGGTTTTTAGAAAGCTGCTTTTTTGGCCGCAGCTGTTTGCTCAGTTGCACACCGGCTGCTAATCAGCTCTCCAGCTCAAGCGTTCCCAGGGGTGGGAGAGAAAGAGAGAGAGAGAGAGAGAAGAAAGAGGAGAGAGAAAGGAGAGAGAGAGAAAGAGGAAAGACAGAGAGAGCGATGGGGGAGAGAGAGAGAGAAGAGAGAAGAGACAGAGACAGAAGAGCGAGAGAGAGAGAGAGAGAAAGACAGAGAGGGGGGAAGAGAGGAGAGAGATGAGAGAGACAGAAGAGAGAGGAGAGAGAGACAGAAGAGAGAGAAGAGAAACAGAAGAGAGAGAGAAAGGAGAGAGAGGAGAGAGAGAGAGAGAGGAGAAAGACAGAGGGGGGAAAGAGAGGAGAGAGACGGAAGAAAGAAAGGAGAGAGAGAAGAGAGAGAGAAGAAAGAGAAAGGAGAGAGAGAGAAGAAAGAGGAGAGAGAGGAGAGAGAGAGAAAGAGGAAAGATAGAAAGAGGAGAGGGGGGAGAGAGAGAGAGAGACAGAAGAGACAAGAGAGAGACAGAAGAGCGAGAGAGCGAGAGAGAAGAGAGAGAGAAAGGAGAGAGAGGAGAGAGGAGAGAGAGAGAGAGGAGAAAGACAGAGGGGGGAAAGAGAGAAGAGAGAAGGAAGAAAGAAAGGAGAGAGAGAAGAGAGAGAGAAGAAAGAGAAAGGAGAGAGAGAAGAGAGAGAGAAGAAAGAGAAAGGAGAGAGAGAGAAGAAAGAGGAGAGAGGAGAAAGAGAGAAAGAGGAAAGAGAGAGAGGAGAGGAGGAGAGAGAGAGAGACAGAAGAGACAAGAGACAGAGACAGAGACAGAAGAGCGAGAGAGAGAGAGAGAGAGAAGAGAGAGAGAAAGGAGAGAGAGGAGAGAGAGAGGAGAAAGACAGAGGGGGGAAAGAGAGGAGAGAGACGGAAGAAAGAAAGGAGAGAGAGAAGGGAGAGAGAAGAAAGAGAAAGGAGAGAGAGAGAAGAAAGAGGAGAGAGAGAGAAAGAGGAAAGATAGAGAGAGGAGAGGGGGAGAGAGAGAGACAGAAGAGACAAGAGACAGAGACAGAAGAGCGAGAGAGAGAGAAGACAGAGAGATGGGGAAGAGAGGGGAGAGAGAGGAGAGCTAATAAGATGAGTTAGTTCCCAGTCACAGACTACATCGTATTTCCCTACCGTCCTTTTACTACCTCTGTGGGTCTACATCCATGGCCGTAAAGGAGACCTAGGAGAAACTGGATCCCTTAATTGCCTACCTCTCTTCTGCAAGACTTAGCAAGTTCAAGACCGGAGCATGACTGATACCAGGGTCTTGGCCTCTGCTTCGAATGAAAAAGTGGTTCTTGTCTGAGATGCTTCTGCAAGATTGATGACACAGACTAGGATGGGGTTGCAATCATTCCAGCAAGCGACTCTCTTTCCCATCACTAGATCGATATATCTCTCCCATACATTAAGGTGAAGACGCCCTCATTTCCCCCTTTTTACCGTATTTCTGCAAACTTAGTAAGCCCCTTCTCTATTTTACAGGAGGTTGCAAATGACGGCTTGCAAAGCAGTTTCAGGAATTCTTCTCATTCCGGGTACTGACCGATAGAAAGGGGGGTGCTATTTTTAGGACTGTCATAAGTATCTCCCCTCCTTCCTACATTTTATTCAACTATTGGGTGGGGGGTTTTTTGCGTTTCAGGCCTGGACCTCATAGCTGCCCTGTGATCCTGGTTTTTTTCTTTGAAAAAAAAAAAGAGAGAGAGATTCAAGTTAAGATAATTTCTGTGTTCACTCCTACGGTTGCAATTCAAATATAATATGTTGCACAGCCCTTGTACTTTTGCAAAACAACAAAACCGGGGATTCTTCTTCTTCTTCTTCTTCTTCTTCTTCTTCTTCTTCTTCTTCTTCTTCTTCTTCTTCTTCTTCTTCTTCTTCTTCTTCTTCTTCTTCTTCTTCTTCTTCTTCTTCTTCTTCTTCTTCTTCTTCTCCTCCTCCTCCTCCTCCTCCTCCTCCTCCTCCTCCTCCTCCTCCTCCTCCTCCTCCTCCTGTAAACCCAACTCCCTTTTAGCACTGATGATCCTATCTAGTTTGGATCATGAAACATCTGCAAGAAAACCACCAAGCTCAGAGAGCACCAAAGACCCCAGAGTCCTCCTCCTCCTCCTCCCCCCTCCTCCTCCCCTCCTCCTCCTCCTCCTCCTCCTCCTCCTCCTGTAAACCCAACTCCCTTTTAGCACTGATGATCCTATCTAGTTTGGATCATGAAACATCTGCAAGAAAACCACCAAGCTCAGAGAGCACCAAGGACCCCAAGTCCTCCTCCTCCTCCTCCTCCTCCTCCTCCTCCTCCTCCTCCTCCTCCTCCTCCTCCTCCTCCTCCTCCTCCTGTAAACCCAACTCCTTTTAGCACTGATGATCCTATCTAGTTTGGGTCATGAAACATCTGCAAGAAAACCACTGTTCAGAGAGCACCAAGGACCCCAGAGTCCTCCTCCTCCCCCCTCCTCCTCCCCCTCCTCCTCCTCCCCTCCTCCTCCTCCTCCTCCTCCTCCTCCTCTAAACCCAACTCCCTTTTAGCACTGATGATCCTATCTAGTTTGGGTCATGAAACATCTGCCAGAAAACCACTGTTCAGAGAGCACCAAGGACCCCAGAGTCCTCCTCCTTCTCCTCCTCTGTATTATTAGTATGATTAGTATTATTATATCTTGTCCTATTTATTTTCTGACCATCTGGGCTGAACTGGGAAAGAAAAAAGAAATCCTCCCCCCCCCGTCCCCCGAGAACAGAATAGCAAAGATATGCCATTGGCTTAAAAAAAAAAAAAAGTGAAGCCGAGTGGAATGTGATTTGAAGAGCGAGTTGCCAGCAAAGGAAAGCGAGACAACTCATTTAAACAACACCTGATCCTCTTAGCAGAATGGAAACACTTAGCATACACGATTTTTAAATACATATTAAGTTTTTATGGACACTTAGCCTGTTTTTTGTACTCTGTGCCTAGAAATACAATGTAGGACGATGAAGTAGCATTGAATAAACTGGTGTATTATGTACTTGTGCCAGCAGTTTCAAATTTCCACTGGGAAGCCGAACAAAAAATATATTTTGCCTCTGTATAATGTGTAAAACAAGCTGTCCATCGAGTAAAATTTGAGATTCTCAGGCTTCCAAGTCATGGGTGTCCCCAAGGAGCTGACTGAAGACGTTTCGCTTCTCTTCTGAGAAGCTTCTTCTGTTCTGACTGAAGGAAGGAGGATGGAAGGATTGATATTCTTTGCAGTCCTCTGGTCGTTAGCGCTCTTTCTGAGAGTCGCTGAGGCTGCTTGGAGATTTATTCACCTGAATAATGCAACATGGAAGTGGAACTTTTCTCAGAACTGCTGAAAAGACTGCGTTGTAAGCAGGAGACAGGTGTTACCGTATCCCTTCCCCTCTGTTGAGAGAGGGCTGTTCACAGGGGTGGGCTTCAAAAATTTTAGCAAGGGGTTCTCTGCCTGGTTGCTGGGTGATCGTGGCCATGGTGGTCGTGGCCTAATCGGCCTCCTGCAGCATGGCAGGGGGAGGGCATTTTTGCCCTCCCCGGGCTCCGGAGACTTTCCTTGAGCCTCCGGGAAGGCAAAAACGGCCTCCCCAGGCTCCTGAGGCCCTCTGGAGGCCAGAAACAGGCCCATTTCTGGCCTTCTCGAACTTCCGGTAGGCCCGTTCTTCATCCTCCCCGAGCCTCCATGCACCCTGCACTTACCTGTATCCAAAACGGGCTGCGTGGGGACTCCTGGGAGGGGAGGGGCAGGGCGGTGGGGCCAGCCAGGAGTGGGATTTGGGGATTCTCCAAACAGCACAGAATCTTAGCTAGAGGTTCTTCCGAACCCCTGCGGACTCCTGGCTGTTCATCACTCTTAATTACCTTTTTTTTTTTTTGTTATGTACCCACCTCCGTTTGTTTTTCCGCAGGTGATTGTGGGAAGCATCTTTGAAGTCATCTGGGCGGTGGTGAAACCTGGGACTTCTTTTGGCATCAGCGTGCTCAGAGCCCTCCGACTGTTGAGAATCTTCAAAGTCACCAAGTAGGTTTCGGGAGAATTTATGCACGACAGTTTGCTTCGGTCCCCTTGATTTGCCGATCCCTTTACCTGTCTATCCCATTTTTCAGTGGATTAATCACTGTGGCACCGATAGACCGGTAGCCCGCTTCGAAAGAATAAAAAGAAAATAGATCTTTATAGAAATGACTTGTCCATATTATTATGGAAAAACGAAACGCTGCAATTTGATGCAAATGCCTTATTTTGCTGCAACAGAGAGAGTTGGAAGTTAATGTTTCTTTTTCTTTTTTTTCCCTACCTTCCTTCTCCCCTTTCCCTTCCCCTCTCCTTGCTCTTTTATTTACTGTATTTTTCGGAGTATAAGACACACTTTTTCCTGCCTAAAAGGGGGTGAAAATTTGGATTCGTCTTATACACCGAATGTAGCCCCCACCCACCCACCGGCCCCCACCCTTTGGCCTCTTCCTCCCAGCAATTTGCCTCCTTGCAGCAAGCAGCAAACAGACCATTTCAGTTTCAGCTTCAGCACAAGCAGCTGATTGTCAGTTGGATCAGCCTCCCGACCATCAGCTGTTTCAGGCTGCAGGGATTGCCATTGCCTATTGGTGCCTCCGTGCGCCCCATTTTGCTGTTTGCTGCAAGGAGGCAAATTGCTGGGAGGCAGAGGCAGATTTTTTTTCTTGTGCTAATCAGGCTGTGCTGAAACTGAAACAGGCTGTTTGCTGCAAGGAGGCAAATTGCTGGGAGGCAGATTTTTTTTTCCTTGTTTTCCTCCCCCAAAAAAGGTAGACATGTCTTATAGTCCGGAGCGTCTTATACTCCGAAAAATACGGTACTTTTGTATTTTGCATTTTGTAATCCTTTATCACCTAATCAAAAAAAAAATGTTTGAAAAAGAAAAAGAATAACATAAAAACGAGAGGTTGGCTAGGGAGCCATGTGTCTTTCCATCTAATGGTGCTGCTTTCACCCTGCTAACCGAAAGGACCGTTTTGTGGCTTTGAGCAGAGATTGATGATGGCGAAGAGTGTGTGTTTTCTCTTTTCCATGAATTATTTGGTAGACTTTTCAGTCCACCTTTCCACCAGGAGCTCAGTCCAAGCATGCAAAGTTCTAATTTTTCCCTCCACAATAAACAAACAGGAAGGAGACACATTGCTCTCATCGTTCAAGATCTCATCATTTCTAATCGGTGACTTGAATTAAACACCGACGTCCTTGTCCATCTCCTTTAACCATGATTCTATCCTGGTTTCTCTGGAACTTCCCTTCCTCCCTGTTGCTCTAACCAGTTGCGTTATATTTGCCTGCTTTCCAGAATGTAAACAAGACTAAGGGATGTTTCTTCCCTGTAGACATCAGTCACACAAACACAATCCATGACTTTGGCTCTGTCATCTTTCCTCTTCATTATGCAATTATTTTTGAAGTAAGAAGAACAGCTCTGTCTTTCTGCAGCCAGCTTTCCCCTCAAGGCACACAATTTGTACTCATCTGGTGTGTGTTTTCTAAAACAGATTCATCTACAATCATTCCAAAAGAGAAACGTTTTTTTTTTTTCCCTGTGTAAGACTGCCTCCCCACCCTCCACCCCAAATGTACGCAGTGTTTTCTCTCTTTAAGTCACCACTGGTAGCGAAGATAAAATGCAACAAATGTTAAGACAGGGAAGAAGGAGGAAGGGGATGAAATCAAACAGGAAGGCCTTCAGGGATGACTTGACGGTGAAGGATCAGTTGCCAAAGGAGTTGAGGGTGGAGGACGGGATGAAGCCGGAGCATCTTGGTTGCTAGGTAACCCCGTTCGGTTCTTGGAAGACATGTGGTACCCAACAGGCAGAGGTGGCAAGAATGGAGAGACCTAGGACCTCTCTATTTTGGGATCAGCAGAAAATTAAAGCCAGTCTGAATTTTGCTGAACTCTATTGTGCCTTGGTTTCCCACTGTCCCATCACTCCTTTTTCCTGATTTTCCTCCAAATTATAAAGCTTAAGAGCTTTTGTACACCTCAAAGCATCCTGGGAGACTATTGGAAGAAAGAGAAAATATAATTTTAAGTACTAATAGAAATCAAACACCATGGAGCCATGACCAAACTACATAGAGTCACCTGTTCTGACCTAGGCTTCTTTAGAAAGTAAACAGCCCAAACTTAGTCCCGGCAAACCTCTTTAATTCATACGGCTGTAAATTACTTTCATTTACAGTCCGCAAGGCTTGATAAACAGTCTTTCAGAGGAAGGTTATCAACACCCCGCCTATCTCACGTGGAACGCTGCCAGAGAGCTAATTTCCAGACGCAGGGCGAGGCCAAACTTGGCACAGAGTCACAAACAGAAGTTTCAAATCTTGAATCGGCCAGATGAACTAATTGCTTCCTGCAAAAGCTCACGTCCCGTTCGCTTCTCTTTTATGTCTTATGGGAGGGGCCAATCATCTCCAAGCCTTACTCCCAAGTCGACCCTGTTTCCTTAATTGTTTCTGTCTCCTAGCAGCTCTGCGCATGACACACTGGGAACAGGCTCACACTGTTCTTCTGCCTTGCTGATGTCAGATTCCGAAGGCTCCAGAGGCAGCAAAGAACTACCAGATGGCCTTGGCCCCCTCTTTGCCTCCAACTCAGAGCCCTCGTCCGAGCCTTCCCCAGACTCCAGGACTGGCCCACGTTCCTCCCCAACCTCCTCACTGTCCGAATCTGCTAGCTGCTGGCGAGCCACAACACTACCTAAAGTTTAACTTTTATATAGTTGGTTAGTTGTAAATGGGGAATGGCCCTTAGAGGAACAGAAAGAGGTTTAGTAACAATTGCACAAAATGGAGTTCAACAGTTGGACCGCCATTTGTTTGGAGTGGTGTAGCTCTCCTCCTTGTGTAGGAGGTTGGATTAGAAGACCTCCGAGGTTCCTTCCAACTCTGTGACTATGGTATTCTGATCATCCCAAATTCTTCTCTCTTTTTTTAATCTGTTTTTCAACAAGGAAGCAGATAACAATCCCACTGTATAAATTGAATGCCTCTCAGTTTGTTGATTGAGGGGTGCCTGACCACAGGTAGTTGATTTATAAAGGTTTACTACCAGACTCAGATAATTTATGGAAAAAAAACTGAGAAGACCCTTATCCAAGGCGTTCTTCAGCTGTATGGACTGTGATTCCCAGAATTCCCAAGCCGTTGCCGAGAATTCTGGGAAGAGACTTCCTACCTTTTTCTCAGATGGAGGAGAGTGACTCCCTATGCCCGTGTTGGCGAACCTATAGAACGCATGCTGGAAGCGGCACGCAGAACCATCCCGCGCGGAATACGCGGCCTCGCTGGCTCCTCTTCCACGTTCCTGTGCACACACTCAGAGAGTTCAGAGAGTGCGCCGGTTAGCCGGCCTTCGTGCCCGCGAAACCCGGAAGAACAGCGTTCCGTCGTGCATGTGCGCAATGGTACCCCAACTTCCGGGTTTCCATCGTGCGCATCCACGACAGCCAGCTGTTCGTTGGGGAGCGCCTCCGGAAACCGGAAACCGGAAGTTCAGGTGCCAGCGTGCACATGCACGATGGAACGCTGCTCTTTTGGGTTTTGGCGCACCCACGTGCGCGAAAGCTGGCAAGGCCACGCGGTCCAAGCAGGATGGTTTCGCGTGCCGTTTCCGGCACGCAGGTCGGCACGCGGTGATGTAAAAAAGGTTAGCCATCCCTGCCCTATGCTATCATAAGCATTGTAATTCGATTTGTTTTGACCTCCTAGGTACTGGAACTCTCTGAGGAACCTGGTGGTCTCCTTGCTGAATTCGATGAAATCCATCATTAGCCTGCTGTTCCTCCTCTTCCTCTTCATTGTCGTGTTTGCCTTGCTGGGGATGCAGCTTTTTGGCGGGCAGTAAGTTGGATTCAAACGTCTCTCTCTCTGTCGGATAAACCGATAGCGGGGAAACGATATTTCACCGACGATGGAATGGTTCCACTTTCTTTGTGTTTTCTGGCAGATGGGGTGGGCCCTCAAAGTTCTTCTACGTTCCTATATTAATACCCAGCCTCTTCCTAGGTTTCACTTCAATGATGAAACGCCAACTACCAACTTTGATACCTTTCCCACTGCCATTCTCACTGTGTTTCAGGTAAGCCTGCTTCTTCCTCTTCCTCTACCAATTTCATATTAGAATGAATGAGCTGGAAGGGATCTTGGAGGTCTTCTAGTCCAGCCCCCAGCTCAAGCAGGAGAACCTGTACTATTTCAGATAAATGACTGTGTAGAATCTTCTTAAAAGCATCCAGTGATGGAGCGCCCACGATTTCTGGAGGCAAGCTGTTCCACTGGTTAATTGTCCTCGCTGTTAGGAAGTTTCTCCTTAATTCCAGGTTGCTTCTCTCTTTGATTAGTTTCCAAACATTGTTGTCTGTCTGTCTGTCTGTCTCTTCTTCTTCTTTCTTTCTTTCTTTCTTTCTTTCTTCTTTCTTTCTTTCTTTCTTTCTTTCTTTCTTTCTTTCTTTCTTTCTCTTCCTTTCTTCTTCTTCTCCTCCTCCTCCTTCCTCTTCTTCCTCTTCCTCTTCCTCTTCTTCCTCTTCTTCTCAACCTCCGGCTCCTCCTCCTTTCTTGTTCTTCTTCATCTTCTCCTTTCTTCTTCTTCCTCTTCCTTTTCTCCTCCTCCTTCTCTTCTTCCTCCTCCACCTCCTCCTCCTCCTCCTAATACCATCTTCTTCTTTTCCTTTTCTATTATCATCATCTTCCTCCTCCTCCTCCTCCTCCTCTTTTTCTTCCTCTTTTTCTCCTCTCCATCCTCCTTTTTTTTCTTCTTCTTCTTCTTGTCCTCCTCCTTCTCCTTTCCTTCTCTATTATCATCATCTTCATCTTTCTCCTCGTCCTCCTCATCCTCCTTCTCTTTTTCTTCCTTTTCTTCTCCTCTCCATCCATCCTCCTCCTCCTTTTTCTCCTCCTCCTCCTCCATTTGAGGTAGCCAATGACAATCACATGGTTAGGCAATCCTAACTGGCCGCAAGAAAGTAGGTCACACATGATCCAGAACTTATGTCTCTCATAAGTAACTGATACCCTTAGGAAGCTCATAGATTTCCTCCAGCATAGTATCTTAGTATCTCATTTTCAGTGCCACGAAAAACATTCCCCTCCCCAATCCTCTCGGCTGTGGCACATTCTTAGCGGCAGCAATAACCTGTTTTCCATTTTTGCTTGAAGGAAAAAAAAATGCTTGAATGAGCATTTTTGCTCATTAAATTAATGAGAATAATAGTTTGAGGAAGGCCTAGGGGGGTCATGTTGAGAAATATCACCTACCATTCTTGTTTCTGCATAGGATGCTAATTGGGGCCATGAATCTTAACCAGGAGCAAGAGAAGAACTCACAGCCTTGAGAAGAAAGTAGAAATTTGGAGGGGCAAATGTTGCTTTTGCTACCCTGTTTCCCCAAAAATAAGACCCAACCGGAAAATAAGTCCTAGCATGATTTTTCAGAATGCTCGTAATATAAGCCCTACCCTCAAAATAAGCCCCAGTTAAGATTGTCAGCCAAGATGGATGCATTTAGTACTGTATTTCCCCCGAAATAAGATCTAACTAGAAAATAAGCCCTAATGAGTCTTTTGGAGCAAAAATTAATATAAGACCTGGTCTTATTTTCGGGGAAACATGGTAAGTGTTTACTAGGAAGAGGGCCCATGTCAGGGGCCACTTAGCTATTTAGCAGTGACTGGGGTAAAAAAAGTGATATATGGGGTCTTTGATGTTCTCTGAGCTTCGTAGTTTTCTTGCAACCATTTCATTATCTAACAAGGTAACGTCATTGATATACTGATGACGTTACCTAGTTGGGTCCTGAAACATCTGCAAGAAAGCCAGAGAGCACCAAGGACCCCACGGGGGTCCTGAGCTACAAATATTCTCTTCTATCAAAAATGATATACTTATATCATAGAAGTTGTGGGAGCTTCATCCCTGGAAGCTTTCAAGAAGAGACTGGACTGCCATCTGTCAGAAAGGGTCTGGGGTCTCCTGCTTGGGGAAGGCTTGGACTAGATGACTTACAAGATCCCTTCCAACTCTGTTAATGTTAATTAATTAATATATGTGACACGGCAAACAGGTCTCGTTTGTAATCAATGGGACTTGTTCTGAACAAGAAACAATGGAGGGAAACTAATCAGGGAGGGAAACAACCTAGAATTAAGGAGAAACTTCCTAACACTGAGAACAATTGACCAGTGGAACAGAAGTTGCCTCCAGAAGTTGTGGATGCTCCATCACTGGAGGATTTTAAGAAGAGACTGGGCCGTCCTTTGTCTGGAACGGTATAGAGTATCCTGCTTGAGCAGGGGGGTGGACTAGAAGACCTCCAAGGTCCCTACCAACGCCGTTATTCTGACTATTCAAGAAGTGGTCATCCCACCACATTCTTCCCAAAGCAACATCTCCACGGTGGCTCTGTTCTTGGAGCAAAGAGACTTGTTCTTTTCTCTCACAAACCCTTTGTTTCTTCCCTGGCTCAATGATTTTTCAGATTCTGACTGGGGAAGACTGGAACGCCGTGATGTATCAGGGCATCGAATCTCAAGGGGGCGTCCATTCTGGAATGTTCTCCTCGGTCTACTTCATCGTCCTCACACTCTTCGGGAACTGTATCCTTGGTCCTGCTGAAATTCTTGACTTGCTAATGGTTGTTTGATGTTGCTGTTTTGCCAGAATGGGCACATTCCAGATTAGCAACGGCTTCTCTTAATGGGCAAGCGAATGAAAAGTTACCGGAAAGCCATTAGCGAAAATTATTGATTGATTCGGAAATGAGATTCTTTCTTTGTTTCTTTTTGTTTCTTTTTTTTAAATTAGTGGCCAAAGTTGTGGAAACCTTTTGGGAAAAGTATTCTCTAAAACTAGCTAACTAGCTAACACCACTTTTTTTGGAAGTAGTACCATAAAAGTATATATCAATGGAAAGATATATATTATTTTTGGGAGTATCCCCCCCAAAAGAGGGTGAAAATTTGGGTGCGTCTTATACACCGAATGTAGCCCCGCCCACCCGCCCCCTGGAAAATGGGGCACGCAGAGGTGGCCCTAGGCTATGACAATCCCTGCAGCCTGAAACAGCTGATCTTCGGGAGGCCAATCCAACCGACAATCAGCTGCTTGTGCTAATCAGGCTGTGTTGAAGTTGAAGCTGAAATGGGCTGTTTGCTGCAAGGAGGCAAATTGCTGGGAGGCAGAGGCAGATTTTTTTTTTTCTTGTGCTAATCAGGATGTGCTGAAAATGAAAATGATACTGAAACAGGCTGTTTACTGTTTGCTGCAAGGAGGCAAATTGCTGGGAGGCAGAGGCAGATTTTTTTTTCTTGTTTTCCTCCCCCAAAAAGGTAGGTATGTCTTATAGTCCGGAGCGTCTTATACTCCGAAAAATACGGTAATTCTTTGGCATTGTACAGTAGTAGCCAAAATTGTGGAAGCCTTTTGGGAAAAGTGTATTTTCTAAAACTAACTAATAACACCACTTATTTTTTTGGAGTAGTATCATAAAATTATATGTCAATGGAAAGATAGTTTAACCCAGCTCTGTATTCCCTATCTTCGTGAATGAATACGATCTCAACTTTATGGAATATTCAGAAAACATTACAGCAGTCCTCGACTTATGACAGTTCATTTAATGACCGTTCAAAGTTACTATGGCACTGGAAAAAGAGATTTAGGATTGGTTTTCCATACTTATAACCGTTGCAACGTCTCCAAAATCCAGACGCTTGGCAAATTGACTCGTATTTGTGACAGTTGCTGCGTCCCGGAGGTCACACGATCTCCTTTTGCGACCGTCCGACGAGCCAAGTCAAGGGGGAAGCTGGATTCACTTAACGACCATGTGACTCATTTAACCACTGCAGCGATCCACTTAACGACAGTGGCACACAAGGTTGTAAAATGGGGCAAACCTCCCTTTAACGAATGCCTCGCTTATCGACAGACGTTTTGGACTCCGTCGTAGTCGTAATTCAAGGACTACCTGTACTGTCTTTCCAATGGGGAGGAAGAGAATGTGAAGGGTTTAACTCAGGGGTCAGCAACCTGCAGCTCTGGAGCCGCATGTGGCTCTTTCACCCCTCTGCTGCGGCTCCCTGTCACTCAAAATATGCGTCACAATCGCCAATGTGTGACACATGCCAGCACATGATTTATTGAGCTTTTCAACTCCCGGTAGACCAACCATGGATAAATCCAAGAAAAGAAAAGTTTCAGAAGAAAACAGAATGTTTAATTCAACTACATTTATTTTATTTTATTTATTTATTTATTCGAATTTCTATACCGCCCTTCTCCTTTCGGACTCAGGGTGGTGAACAGCCAAAATAAAAACATTTATACATAAAGTACGATTAAAAATAGATTTAAAATAATTAAATTTGGCCCATAGTTTAAAATTTATCAGTTTAAAATCCATATCAAAATTTAAAACCAACCATATGCTAGTTTTGTGGCCGCTCGAGAAATAGTCAGGCACGGGAAGGGTTTTGTGGCTCCTGGTGTTTTCTTTTCTGTGGGAAACGGGTCCAAATGGCTCTTTTGAGTGTTTAAGGTTGCAGAGCCCTGGTTTAACTCCATCTTTGAGATGTTTAAAATGATCCTTTTGGGGTGAATTTAAGAATTGAGCCTCTGTGCATGAGTCTGTCTCAAATATGCAGCCGAGCAACCTTAAAACCATGGAAGTTGGGAGAAATATTTCTTGCCCCCCTCCCTCCTTCCCTCCTTCTCCTGACTCAGTCCTGACAAAAATATATTCCTTTTTCGATTAAGAGGTGGACAAGACCTGGATTAGTTCCCAGATTTGGGGTTAATGTGGATGTGACTCACTGGATGCTCCTGTTGTATTATGTTCCCCCCTTCCCCCACTGATCATTAGTCTACTTATCTTAGTCTGAGCTGCCCATTTTTGTGGATTTTAATTGTTTCATTTTTTTTAATGGGTTATGTAAACCGCTCAGCCTCCTCTGGAGTGGATAACGACATTAAATTAATAACATTAAAGAAAGTCCTTTGTCATAATCCAGCACATGCGCTTCTGATGCGCTTATGTTCCTGGGTGTTACTCCGCACGGTCATGGAGATACTTATAGCTTTGAATCCTTTGGATTAGACATTGCTTCATTAGTAATTCATTAAGAGACAGAGAGCCAGTTTGGTCTAGCGGTAAAGGCATCAGGGTAGAAAGCAGGAGACAGTGAGTTCTAGTCCCACCTTAAGCATGAAAGCCATCTGGGTGACTTTGGGCCAATCACCAGGAGACTGTGAGTTCTAGTTCTGCCTTAGCCATGAAAATCGGCTGGGTGACTTTGGGCCAATCACCAGGAGACAGTGAGTTCTAGTCCCACCTTAAACATGAAAGCCATCTGGGTGACTTTGGGCCAATCACCAGGAGACTGTGAGTTCTAGTTCTGCCTTAGCCATGGAAATCGGCTGGGTGACTTTGGACCAATCACCAGGAGACTGTGAGTTCTAGTTCTGCCTTAGCCATAAAAGTCGGCTGGGTGACTTTGGGCCAATCACCAGGAGACTGTGAGTTCTAGTTCTGCCTTAGCCATAAAAGTCGGCTGGGTGACTTTGGACCAATCACCAGGAGACTGTGAGTTCTAGTCCCACCTTAAGCATGAAAAGCCATCTGGGTGACTTTGGGCCAATCACCAGGAACTGTGAGTTCTAGTTCTGCCTTAGCCATGAAAGCCGGCTGGGTGACTTTGGGCCAATCACCAGGAAACTGTGAGTTCTAGTTCTGCCTTAGCCATGAAAGCCGGCTGGGTGACTTTGAGCCAATCACCAGGAGACTGTGAGTTCTAGTTACTAAAGTAAATGAGACTTGCAACACACTTAATAAAATAAACTCACCTGAGACTTCACCTTCTAAAAATACCCCAATTCTATATCGGAAGCTGATTGTAGTCTGAAGTGTTGGAGGTTTTCCTTCCTTCCTTTTATTCAAAATTTAATCTACGCCTATTTTGCAACCATCTTCGTGCTGTTATCACTTTGTGCTGAATTTTGCTTTAAATTTCATTTGCTGTTGCCAATTAACAAGACGTTTCCCCTTCACTTATCCCCAAAACCTTTTCTGGGTGTTTCCCATCATTATCTGTTCAAACCCCCCCACCCAAAAATGTTAAAGGAGTCTCAGGAGAATAAAATTTTGAGTTGGCTGCTTGGCAAAGCTTCCGTGTGGCTGTGTTTAGCACCTAAGGTCAGTGGGCAAGCTTAACATAACGAAGCATTATCGAGAAAAAGAATGTCAGTAAGATATACACCGAGTGTGTAGCCACAGGCAAAAATATTCAGAAGAGCGATAGTGACAAGTTCTTAACTAGACATTTCATGCTCGACTGAGACAGCCCAGGCCAAGCGTTTAGAGAAGAATTAAAGGGACACGGTGGCTCAGTGGCTAAGACGCTGAGCTTGTCGATCGAAAGGTCGGCAGTTCAGCGGTTCGAATCCCTAATGCTGCGTAACGGGGCGAGCTCCCGTCCCTTGTCCCAGCTTCTGCCAACCTAGCAGTTCGAAAGCAGGTAAAAAATGCAAGTAGAAAAATAGGGACCACCTTTTGGTCCCTTTTCTGTGAGCCTTTAGGATTGAGTCATGCCGGCCACATGACCACGGAGACGTCTTCGGACAGCGCTGGCTCTTCGGCTTTGAAACGGAGATGAGCACCGTCCCCTAGAGTCGGGAACGACTAACACATATATTCAAGGGGAACCTTTACCTAAAGGTGCACGACACCATCTGTTCCAAAGTATCTTCTCTCCTCCTCTCTTTTTATTTATTTTTTTCTAATATAGCCGAATGCAGGTATCTTATATTTTGCTACCTTCTGATTGGTTTGGGAAGCAATGGCACCTCTTATCTTTGATTTAGCACAAGGAGGGTTGCGTTCTTCATGAGATCCTTAGCAGCTGAATCAGATACCCTCCTGAATGTCTTCTTGGCCATTGCTGTAGACAACCTGGCCAACGCCCAAGAGTTGACCAAGGTGAGTGAGTGAGTGAGTGAAAGAGAGAGAGAGACAGAGAGATAGAGGGAGAGAGAGGGTTGTGTAATCCTTTGTGAAGGAAGTTGTGGGGGCTTCACCACTTGAGACTTTCAAGAAGAGATTGGACTGCCATTTGTCAGAAATGGTGTAGGGTCTCCTGCTTGGGGAGGGGGTTGGACTAGATGACCTACAAGGTCCCTTCCAACTCTGTAAGTAGGCGATTCCTTTGATTAAATGGCCTTGAACAGCTGACAAGATTAGCTTTACAAGTATGAGGTCCTTGGTGCTCTCTGAACTTAGTTGTTTTCTTGAAAACGTTTCATGACCCAACTAGGTAACAGCATCAGTGCTAAGTAACATCATCGGTTAGGGAATGAATCATCTGCAAAAAAATTACCAAGTTCAGAGGACCCCACAGTCTTCCCTCCTCCTCCTCCTCCCCCTCCTCCTCCTCCTCCTCCTCCTCCTCCTCCTCCTCCTCCTCCTCCTCCTCCTCACCACCACAAACCACATTCCTTTTAGCACTGATGACGTTACCTAGTTGGGTCAGGAAACATCTGCAAAGCAAACAACCAAGCTCAGAGAACACCAAGGACCTCCATAGCTCAACCCCGAGCTACAAATATCCTTTCAATGCTTTACAAATGTCCCCAGCTCCCGTTAGAATTTGGAGGGATTTATCTCCGGAAAGTAGATAATATCTGGTGGTTATTGACTTTAATGGCAACTGAAAAAGAATGTTGTAGAGCTGGGAAGGATGCTGGAAATTCAGTCACATATGCTTTTGGAAAATAGGGACCGAGGACAGTTTCCTTCTTACTATGTTTGGAAGTGTGGTGAGATTCAGGGTCTTCCTAGACATCACTCAAGAGTTTAACTACAGCTTAGAAATAAATAAAAAAAATCTATCTTTTAAAAAAGAGAGAAGAGAAAGCAAAAAGGTTATCCGAATCGGTTGCCTCAAAGGTGCTTTTCCAGAGATCAACTGGACTTTGGTTTTCCTTGAAGGCGTTTCGCTTCTCGCCCAAGAAGCTTCTTCAATTCTGCCAGAATTTCCTTGAAGCGAAACCAGTTGCCTTTGGGAAAAGCCCAGGGGTGGGCTTCAAAAAATTTAGCAAGGGATTCTCTGCCCGGTTGCTGGGTGGGTGCGGCTTTGGTGGGCGTGGCCTAGTCGGTCTCCTAAACCATGGTGTGGGGAGGCGGTTTTTGCCCTCCCCGGGCTCCGGAGGCTTTCCTCAAGCATCCAGGAGGGCGAAAACAGCCTCCCCAGGCTCTGGAGGCCTTCCCGAACTTCTGGTAGACCTGTTTTTAACCCTCCCCGAGCCTCCGTGTGCGCCCTGCACTTACCTGCATCCAAAATGGGCCACGTGGGGACTCCTGGGGTGGGCGGGGTGGGGTGGGCGGGGCCAGCCAGGAGTGGGATTTGGGGGTTCTCTGAACTGCACACAATCTTGGCTAGAGGTTCTCCCGAACCCCTGCGAATCCCCAGCAGCCCCACCCCTGGAAAAGCCCCTTTGGGACAACCGTGACGTGGAGGATGGAGAATCTCTACAGACACGTATCACGTTTGTCTCTCTCTCTCTGCACCCTTGTTCTCCTTTGCAGGATGAAGAAGAAATGGAAGAAGCTACCAACCAAAAACTTGCCTTGCAGAAGGCGAAGGAGGTTGCCGACGTCAGTCCCCTGTCAGCTACTAACATTTCTATCACAGCGTAAGAGTTCGTGGCATTTACCTATCTTAGATCTATTAACCCTCCTTCTTTTAAATCAGGGGTCCCCAAGCTACCCCCAGTCGGCCGCAGCATGCCAGAAACCGGGCCACGTAAACAGGGAAGCCCCATCCGTGGGATGCAGGCAGCACCCAAAACTCACACCCTTGAGCCACGGTGGCGCAGTGGTTAGACTGCGGTACTGCAGGCTCCTTCTGCTGACTGCCGGCTGCCTGCAATTTGGCAGTTCGAATCTCACCAGGCTCAAGGTTGACTCAGCCTTCCATCCTTCCGAGGTGGGTAAAATGAGGACCCAGATTGTTGGGGGCAAGAGGCTGACTCTGTAAACTGCTTAGAGAGGGCTGTAAAAGCACTGTAAAGCGGTATATAAGTCTACGTGCTATTGCTATTGCTCTCCGGTCCGCAGAAAAAACCTTTCTCCATGGAACCGGTCCCTGATGCCTAAAAGTTTGGGAGCTGCTGCTTTCAATCCCCATTCCATCATCTCCAACTTTTGTCCAAGTTTTTTTTTTGTCAAAACCTTTCCTACTCATCCCTAATAGGAAAGTTCTTAAGTTCATTCTTCTAGTTTCGTGGCTTCCAGTTTTTGTCCACTGTGTCTGCGTGTCACTTTGTGTTTGTCATCACAAGCTTTTTTGGGCCACCAGATAAAATAGGAGCACCCCGTGAGTAGAGACTCCCAAATTAACCGAAGATGAATTTTGTGAAGGCCTCACAAGCTTTCGCGGTTCCCGACAGAAACTCTTAAGAAGAGTTTTGAGGAGAACCAGAAATCTTAGATCTGTGTGTATATAAAACATTTCAGATCGGAGCGTTCTACCCTGAGGTAAAAACTGTGAGTCAGTTACAGGTAATCCTCGGTTTACGATCCACAATTGAGCCCCAGATTTCTGTTGCTCCGTGAGACATTCGTTCAGGGAATTTTGCGCCATTTTATGACCTTCCTTTGCCACCGCTGTTAAGGGAATCGGTGCAGTTGGTAAGCGAGGAACCCGGTTGTTAAGCGAATCTGGTTTTTCCCCATTGAGTTCGCTTCCCGGAAGGTCGCAAAAGTCCCTTCCAATTCTGTTATTCTGTGATCCTATAATCCCAGACCAATTAATCCATGGAACGGCTTGCCACCAGAAGTTGTGCGTACTCCAACACTGGAGGTTTTCATGAAGAGATTGGACAACCATTTGTCTGGAATGGAGTAGGGCAGTGATGGCTAACCTTTTTGCCATCGTGTGCCAGGAGTGGGGGCGGGTGTCACACGTGCACACATGCTCACACCCATAATTCTATGTGCCCTGTCCCCCGCGCATGTGCGCGTGCCCCCCCGCTCTCCCCACTCCTGGCAAGCGATAGCACGGTAGGACTCTAGAGCCTTTCTAGGAGTCTGGGGAGGGTGAAAACGGCCTTCCCCACCCTCCCGGAGGCCGGAAACGGCCCGTTTGCCAACTTCTGGTGGGACCAGAAGGCCCGTTTTTTGCTCTTCCCAGCCTCCAGAGCCTTTCTAGGAGTCTGGGGAGGGCAAAAATGGCCTCCCCTCCCCCAAGGCCCTCCAGAGGCCAGAAATTGCCAACTTCCGGTGGGAGCTGAGCTCGTGTGCCCACCGATATAGCTACACGTGCCACCTGTAGCACGCATGCCATAGGTTCACCATCACAGGAGTAGGGTCTCCTGCTCGAGCAGGGGGTTGGACTAGAAGACCTCCCGAGGTCCCTTCCAACTCTGGTATTCTGATTGCTACTCAGGAGGAAGTCATGGTAACTAGATCACCTTCTGCTGCTCACCTGACCGTTGATCATTTTGTGGGAATGTCCTGCTCTGACATGGATTCTTTTTCCTTTGCTGTATGTTCCCTCGTTTTCATTTTCCATGTGCCGCTTTCTCCTGCCAACCTAACACGCACTTGTCAGTCGGCGCTTCTCTGGCTTTCTGTCCCATGTTTCAGAAAGCGGATTTGATCTGCCTCTGTGCCCATCTTCCTGTTTGCCAAATGCTTGCATCTTGTACATCATGAACCCTGTTCGCCTTAATTCACAGGGCAGGTCTTTGGGTCAAGGCAGTGGAGCATTTCCAGTGGGATGAGGGCAATGCATTGTGTTCAGGTGGCTTTTGAAGATGATCCAAAAACTTTAGTTAGTTAAAAGAAGACAGCAAGGTGACAATTGGGGCTGGACCTTCCTTCCTTCCTTCCTTCCTTCCTTCCTTCCTTCCTTCCTTCCTTCCTTCCTTCCTTCCTTCCTTCCTTCCTCTTTCCCTCTTTCCCTCTTTCCCTCTTTCCCTCTTTCCTTCCCTTCCCTCCTTCTATTCTTCTTTCTTCCTTTCCTTCCCTTCCCTTCCCTTCCCTTCCCTTCCCTTCCCTTCCCTTCCCCTTCCCTTCCCTCCTTCCAGTCCTTTCCTTTCCTTTCCTTTCCTTTCCTTTCCTTTCCTTTCCTTTCCTTTCCTTTCCTTCTTTCCTGTGCTTTTTCCCTTCTTTCCTTTTTTCCTTCCTTCCTTCCTTTCCTTCCACATCTCCTTCCTTCCTTCGCTCCTTCCTTTCCCCCTCTTTCCCTCCTTTCCTTTCCCCTTCTTTCCTTTTTTCCTTCCTTCCTTCCTTCCTTCCCCTTCACTTTTTCCTTCCACCCACCCACTTACTTCCCTCTCTCCCTTCTTCTCTATGGCTCCTTTCTTTCTTTCTTTTCCTTCCTTCCTTCCTTCCTTCCTTCCTTCCTTCCTTCCTTCCTTCCTTCCTTCCTTTCCTTCCACATCTCCTTCCTCCTTCGCTCCTTCCTTTCCCCCTCTTTCCCTCCTTTCCTTTCCTTTCCTTTCCTTTCCTTTCCTTTCCTTTCCCCTTCTTTCCTTTTTTCCTCCCACCCCCCCTCCCTCCCTCCCTTCCCAACCAACCAACCAACTCATCCCTCTCCCTTTCTGCATTCAAAGTGTTCTCTGATCAGTTAAGCTTCAGTGATAAATTAAGATGCCGAATTGACTGTTGTTCCTAGTTTCCACCTACATTAAAACTGAGTGCTTTTAAGGCTTGGACCATATGGGAGGGGCATGTGGGGAATTTGTTTAGGGGAAAATAAAATAAGATGCAGTTCAAAGGCACCTCGGCAGAGTTAGGGTTTTATTACTTTTACTCTGGACACAACATTGCAGCTTTGACCATACCTAATTCCTTGCTTTGCCTAACCTAACGCATTCCACAAAATGTACTGTGGTCCCTTTAAGCTAAAAAGGTGACATTATACATGAGATAGATCTCGAAATATCTTCTTTCCTTCCTTCCATTTACCTCCTTCAAGAAACGGGATTAAGTAAGTTAATTTTTCAAATGGGTTGTGGGTTGTTGTATAACCCTGTGACATTCGAGCACCAGCCAAGGGAATTGCTCCTCGTGAAGACCAAGATAGTTCTCTGAATTACCTCTGAAGTTCTTGTCTAAAAACAGAGCCCAACCCTACACCCTTCTAGCCCTGATGATGTTACCTAGTTGGGTCACGAAACGTCTGCAAAGAAACCTACCCAGCTCAGAGAGCACCAAGGACCCCACAGTTCTCTGAATTGAAATCCCTCTCGCAAAGGAGTGATATAATGTTTGCAAGAGGCTGTAGAAACATCAGATTCCCCTCTTGAACCGTTGTTTTAATTTTTAAAAAAATTTTGCTTTATTCCTCCCTTCCCTTTTTGGTTTTAACAGATGATGTCTCAGCTCATCCCAAATTCTTATCCTGAAGTTTGCTGACAATGGTCTCCTTTCAAAATGCACGTTCCCAGCCTGTACCTTCTCGTCCTGGAGTTTTGTTAAATACACTCTCTCCCTCTCCCTCTCCCTCCCCTCTCTCTCTCTCTCTCTCTTCTCTCTCTCTCTCTCTCTCTCTCTCTCTCTCTCTCTCTCTCTCTTTCCTTCCTTTCTTCCCTTCCTTTCTTTTTTCTCTTTAGAGGTTTTTTTCCCCAGGTTTTGTTTTTCCCTCTCACTTTTGTATTCTTCTGTTTCTCGCATGTGCAGTTTTGTAAAGCAAACTCGGGAGTCTGTTTCTCGCAGCTCATCGCTCTCCAGCGTAAATTCACCGTGAGTTGCCCTCCATATACAATATTCCGTAAATGTAGCTTATATATATATCTATAAATTGATGAACGTTTATTTTTTTTTCCAAAGAGACTTTTCCCTACCTTGTTTCCCCCATCCCCCACCCCACCCCCGGCTTTAAGTCATCCCTTTCATTTGTGGAAATTCATAACGGAGCATCAATTGGGCAACATAATCCCTGCAAACGCTTGTGAGTTATTTCTGAGAGTTTCCCCACGTGTGATTTTGTGCCTTCTTCTTCTCGCCTAGCTCCATATCCAACTCCTTGCATGTTCTTTGTGCCCTGCCTGTTCCTCTCCCTCTTCCCTTTTTGCCTACTTTCTTTGTGGCTCGTCGTGATTCCGATGAAAACGATTGGTTCTTCCTCTTTGTCCCCATTGAATAGATATTTTCTCACCTTGTGTTTTCCCCTCCAACCGCCGATGATACGAAAGGATCCATCCAAGTGTCTCAAAGGTGCCTTTTCAGAAAGTCAACATTCTGGACAGAGAAGGATCCAAGAGGCCATCTGTATTTCAATTGCACAGCCCACCCTCAAGAGAGGGAGAGGGATATGACACCACCCGTCTCCTGTCTACAGCGCAAGTCCTTTCGGCAGTCCCAAAAAGGTTCCACACCCATTTGCGCTATCCAGGGGTCTCTGAGGGCACAGATAAACTTCCAAGTGGCCTCAGGAACTCTCAGGAAGAGTGCTAATGACCAGATGACTGCAAAGAAATATGATCCTTCCACCCCCTCTCAATTCTGTTAGAACTAATTCCTCCATAGACACCAGCATCCTACCAGAACCAATGAAGCTTCTTGGATGAGAAGCATAACTATTACTTCTTCTTCTTCTTCTTCTTCTTCTTCTTCTTCTTCTTCTTCTCCTCTTCTTCTTCTTCTTTCTTCTTCTTCTTCTTCTCTTCTCCTCCTCCTCTTCCTC